ACCAGTTTACTTTGGCTTTATGCAATTTAAAAAAAAAAATAAATAACGTTGGTAGAAAGTGGCAACAACAGGTCCTCCGACCAGTTTTCATACAATTTTTACTCATTTTTTTTTTGTAAATAGTTTTTTCACCTGAATCGAAAAGGAAACGCAAACGGGTCAAAACAAAAGTTGAACCACAAACAGCGACAACTTGTTGCGGCAGCTCCAGCTACAGCTGCTAATACCTTGGCTATTGACTCAAGTGACGACAGCAACAGGCCGTGAGTAATGCGACGAGAGTTTGTATACGAAATGTATATATCGGAAGTGCGTTCAAATCCTCTGCAATTCAGACGCTATCAGCATGTCCGGCTACGATAGAAGCTAGTTTTTCCATATACATATATATGTATATGTACAAGTATATCTTGTAGGCGTCTGTGCGTTGTCGTCGTTGCCTTCGTCATATCTTATCAAAGTTAGTTAACCCAACCAAGTCAAATGCTTGGCCAGAACAGGCGTCTTGGCGTTTGGCGTTTACGAAATGTGAACAGCATTGAAAATTATCATGAGTATATATAATTTTAAATTAAAAAATTGCCCTAAGCACTGAGAGCAAACGCTATTTAATTTGCAGGATGCATCAACAAATTGCTTAAGGCTGTTGTTGTTGTTTTTGTTGTTATTGTTGTTGCAGCTATTTCAATATGCACTACACACTACAGAGACACACGCACACTCAGACACACAAATTGCACACTTGACAGCTGCATTTGTTGCAAATTATAAACACTATTTTTGCAAAATTTTTACATTTCTTTCATAAAGGCACTTTTGCTTTGTTGTTGTTGTTGTTGTTTGTTGTATTTATTGTTGCTGCTGATGTTGAGGCTGCACGGCGGCGACGTCCGAAGCCAGCACCTCCATTCGCTTGCAAGTTGTCGTTGCGACTGAGCTTTCGTGGGACAAGTCCGCAGCGAACAAGTGTCGGTTGCTTGAAGCTCGCCGCAACGGCGAAGCTTCTGGCTGTTCGCTGCTGCCGTCGACGCGCATTTCCAGTTTACAGTTCGATCATGCCCAGCGAGCAGCAGCAGCAGCGTGCGTCGCCACATGTTGAATTCGCCGCGGACCGCACGATGTGCGTGTGCGCCCAATTGACAGCTCACACGCACGCACACATGCACACAGACATTTAAACAATTGAAATTGTAAATATATATGCAATAAAAAATATAAAAAAACAATAAATAGCGGAAATACGGCAATGTTTTGACACTTGAGTATAATTTATATACCCTGTACCCAAAAATGGGTGAGTCTGAGTTTAATTTAGTAGTCCGACTGCTGCGTGTAACAATCCGAAGAAAGCATCTCACGCTCTATATATTATCTGTATCTTTCCTTTGTGAAAAATTCCTTATATAGGTGCTTTTACGCTTGGTTTTAATTGTTCAGAAGTTAGGATAGATTTTTTTTAAATCTAACCATATTAATCTATTTTGGTGGAATTAAACTTTCTTTAAATTATAATTTTTGCAAATTATTATTAGAAAAAGATGAAAAGAGATGAAAAAAAAAATATATTCACAATTGTTTATCTTTAATCCTAAGTTTGACTCGTTTTATTTTCTCTCCCGAATCAATGCTCACTCTTTTCTAATCAGCCCATTTAGGCGTCATATAATTTTGAGATTTTTTGGTTAACTGACTTTATGTTGACACTTCCGCGTTGCAAGGTGTCGGATGAATAATGAGCCGAGCCAAGCCGCTGCTTATGCCATTAATCTGGGCACTCGAACACTTGGCAAGCGGGTTTTTATTGCTAAATGAAAAGGTTAATAAACAAGGCGACTGTTGCGCATGAATTCCAGAAGTTTACGACAAAGAAAGCGACACAGCTAGTGGCAAATAAATTACAAAATGCGACACTGATTAAGCCAAACGCAGCCAAGACTCTGTCGAGGGGGAGAGCAGCAGATGCTGTTGCGGCCGTGGCTGAGGCCATGCCAAAAAAGGCCAGGCCAAGTTTATAAAATAAAAAACAATAAATGCGAAAACGTCGCACCTCAGTTGTTGCGTTGTCTGCGCGTTGTTTTGAGTAATATGCAAATCAGTTTTAAATACTCAGGCGAATAAATTAAATCAACTGCAGCAAGGAAATGCAACGGGCAGGACACACGCCTACGCAATGAAACATCCCCGTCAACTCCGAAGCGGGTTAATTGCAGTTGGCACAAGGAAATCGCAAGCACTGCATAAATTTACAGTAAGCTGACTAACTCGAGAGGCAAGTCCGAGGAGGAGCTGGAGAATGACAGGCCAAGCTTGTGACACTTACAGGAACACGAGTTTCACCTGCCTTATATGGCCAAATGTCTTGGACTACCTGGCTGCTGCGCGCTTTTTTTACTGCCTTTGCGATTAAAGAAACAATCGTTTAAAAGCACTTGAAAAGAAAAAGCGAACACTGCAGGAGTCGCTGCGTGGGCAGGACACTGTCATAAAGGTAAATCTGGTGATACAATGCTTATACATTTTGCTGACAAGTCAGCAATCAAACATCGTACTGCAAGCCAGAAAGAATAGTCATCATAATAAGTTTCATATGAAAAATCGGTGCATACCCATTCAGTTGGTTAAACTGACTTTTACAATATCTTCTCTTCAATAGAAGAGAAGAATATAATAGAATAGAAAGAAGAAGTAAAGTCGATTTTGGAGTGTACTGAACCCAAGATAGTTAAGAAGCCCTCAACTAATGAGCCTCTTTTATCTAGTCTATTTTACAATGTGTGGATTCTAATGACTCCCATCATTCTGCCTTTGACAATATATAAAATGCGATATAGATCAAAAATAAATGGTAGGAAGAAAGAAATTGTCTTGTTAAATTTCAATGATATACACATTTTTCATTATTGACAAACTCATCATACCCTCTGCAAGATTATACAAAATATGATAATGTGGATAATAGAATTTACTGCATAACTGGGTTACTCACGTTGGCTCCTTGGATATATGTGATGTGTTTGCATCGATTTCGTGTCTCCGTCGCTTGGCCGCCGATCTGGTGTGATGTGTCTTGGTTAGGCGCGGACTAATTATAAAGAACAAAATACCAAAGATATAATAATGCAAAAAATTAATGACTAATTTTCTTGGCTAAGCATATGCATATATGCAAGAGCAATATTTGCCCCTGGTAACATATAAGCTATATGTTTATATAAATATATATATTCTTCGTAGTAGAAATGTGCAACTTACGGCGACGGTGCTTCAGCTAAGGGTGGCGATAGATCGCCAGTATCGAGTCGTCTACGTTTGTCTCGTGTGCCGGCTGAGGAGCGATCCCTCGAGTGATGGCGTCGCCTAGTTCTCGGCATCTGTAATGGGACGCACAACACAAATATATAGATATATAAATGCATATAAATAAAAGTTCCCATGTGCATATTGTACAAACACACACGCACATCGTGCCTACGTCACAGACTCAACTCAGTCGCAGTACAACAAATCAGTGTTTTACATTTGCTCAAACCAAAGGCAAAGGTGAGTATCAGTCTGCATGTGTGTGTGTGTGTTTTTCAATTGCAACGCTGATGCGCGTACGGCTGTGTGTATGTGTGTGCGTGTGTGTGTGTGTGAGGGGGCTTCATTTTTGTCTGTACTTTGGGCAACGAAGGCGGGGGGTAGGCGTAGCATACCTTTAACGCTTGATTTCCAGTTGCTTTTTGTTTATGGAGCACACCAAACTCGTTTTGCTGTTGCACTAAAATTGATTTTTGTGTGTATTGTCTGTTGTTGTTGGCTGCTTTGCAAAGCGTCTGTCAAATTTACGCAGCTGCCTGTTTTGCTTGTTGGCCACTTTTGGCACGCATGTGTTAAATGCAGCGTGGCAGATAGGGCACTTTGATAGTTTTACACTCTATTTTAGGCATAAAAACTCGCTAATCACTGCAAAAATATTATTTTCTTTTTGAGAGAATCGTGTTTTTTCTACAGATATTTCACGTCACTTTCATTATATTCACCACGTTTGCCGAGAGCTACCATGTTGTCGTAGTAGATGGCAGTGCTGCCAACTTGTCCACAAAATTAAACAATCGGCGCATTATACATATTTTGGTATATCTCTTATCTGGCGGGAATTGTTTAAATTTATTATTTTTATCTGTTTTGGATATTGCATTCGCAATAAATTTTAAGAATTTTTCAATATTAATAATTAATTCAAAAGTGTGGCAGCACCACAGCAGCTGAGTGCGCAGCGCGATTTGTAAAACAGCCGCTCGCTCATTCGCATTGGTCGATTTTGTGTGCCTTGGATATCGTCTGACCTAGCAGGTAGCCGCAACGGCTCACAGACACATGCGTGCGACTGTGTGAAAGAAAATTGCCTTGCGTTTAACATGTTATCTTACCTCTTCTTCTTGTGTTTGTGTTGTTGTTTCTGCTGGCGGTGGCGCAGGCAATGCTAGAAACGGCGACCGAGGTAAATATAAACGATTCCACAAGCCACCAATTACCCTATTTAGCAATTGCCAAGTTTGATATGCTTTTTGCGAGATGTTTGAGTTCATTAGTAGATAAATCCCCGAATAAACGAGACAAATCGAAAACTAAATTGCACTTGTCGCCCTTTTAGCATGCGTTGGTGTTTGTTTATAATTTTTGGCGCAATTCTCCGTTTCTCCGTTATTTTTGGCTGTCCAGGTCGGACAGCTAGCTATCTTTTACAAATGTGCAAAGCATTTTACAATTTTTGATTCGAACTCTACACGTTTTAAAGACAGCTAAAACAATGGCTGCTGAAACCAATACGTTTAGAAATAAAATTGAATTACAGACAAGCCAAGCGCGGCAGCAGCTGACTAGTTCTGCTTCTTTCCCCTCAGCGTTGCCACCCCAAACACCGTTAATGCCAATAAGTGCTAGTGTTGATAAGTTGTCAAGTAAGCAGCGTTGCCACACTGTTGCCTTTTAAATTTATCAGCTGTCGTTCAATGCGCGCGCGCGTTTTTTTTTCTTGTTGGCGCCCAAGGAAAATACTGGCAATTCAATTGCATAACAATACACGGCATAACGGTATCGTTATCGCGCATATCCTCAGTCAGATATTGACGTGCTTACGCTAACGTGCGCTGCGACGCCTGCTCCCGCCTTGTAGTGTTTTCCGTGTCCGCAACGAAAAAAAAATAGATCAAATTGGACTATTAAAAATTCAAGAATAAATCAAAATTACGGAGCGTCAATGCCTAAATAATTAATCGAGTGTCTACCAAACGGTATGCCGCGCCCACGTCAGAGCTGCAGTTCGCACAAATATCGTCGAAGTTCATAGCAGCAGCTCTTCCAAAGTTACCCGAACGTGTTCACACAACCCACGCCCGCCCACTCGCCAGCACTGAACACAAGAAAGTTTCTGCAGCAGCTGCATTGCGAATGAATGCATGCAAATTTTTTGCTTATTGGCCATTTTGTTGCCTTTAAATTGCATTGAACAGAATTTACATTGCTAACGAGGCGCATGCCAAAAGTAAGTATGGCCTATCGATTTTTACTAAAGCGGCAGAAGCCTTCTCCTGCTCTGCAAGTCGCGTGATTCACAATAAATATCCACTTTCGGCTACCTCCCAAACTGGCCTGTGTCTGCAAAAAAAAAATACTCACCCACACAAACATAGAAATACATATACAAATTGGTATGTATGTATGGTGGCAAATCCTTTTATTGGGTCACGAGGCAGCTGCGGCTGTGTGTTGACATTGTCCTGGACTCATTTTTCATACGTAAGCACGTGCTTTTTTGGCACAGGACAACGGGGTGTATACGTAACATAAAAAAGGCCGTTTGTGTGTGCTCGCGTGTGTGTGTGTAGGTTTGGAGGAAGTTTTGTGCGAAGCATTTTTATAGCTCTGCGCGCTGGCTTATAATTCATGACATGAACTTTTGATTTCAGTTGCTGTTGCCGCCAATTTAGAGACCCGGCCATTGAACGCGCTTATACTGAAGGCATGGACACTGCGGCCGCCGCTGCCGCTGCCGTTGTCGTTGACCTGAGCGGCGAGTCGGTCGGCAAGTCCACTGCTAGCAAGCTGATTAGCAAGCCCAACCCAAAGCCAAAGCCGACGTCAGGCTACGTGGCAGCAGCTGCAGCAGCAGCCACAACGCCAACTCCATGCAGCGTGGGCAGTGAGCACGATGCCACCAACTGCCTGGGCAGCACCGTGGAGTCAATGTCTGCAACGCCGCCGCTAACGCCGCGGCGTACACGCGTCATCTGCCATGAGACTGGGGACAGCTCAGCCGGCGGCACGGCCAATGGCGAGTCGCATGCTCGTGCCAAAGTTATGAACGGTCTCAAGGATTTGGCTGGGGAGTGTAGCCATGCGGAGAGCATAACGCCAGCACGCGCGCCTCTAATGCCCGCAACATTAACGTCTTCCACGAACGCTTCCACAACGCCAATGTCTGCCTTGCTTACAGCACCAGCAACAACAACAACAACAACTACAGCAGCAGCAACAACCACACACACGACAACCGCAGCTGCATCGACGACATCAACAACAACAACAACAGCAGCGACAGGCAGCAGCGGTAGCAGCGGCACAACGAGCACATCGGCGAACATGGACCAGCTGCTGCACTGGCAGGATATGCCAAAATATCTGCAGTTCAATCCGTATGTCCTCAAAGGATACCGTCCGCTTCAGACCTTCAAGGGCTGCCTGCTCAGTCTCTTCTATTGGCACAACGAGACCATCAACATACTGACGCACGGTGAGTTTCAAGATTCGCCCACGCAGCCATCCGCCCACCCGCCCACACACTCAGCAGAGCTGTTGCTCATTTATCGATCCATTTCAATGACATTAACAATCACGGTCAAAGCCAAGTGCAAGTCCATGTGCACATAAATAGATTGAGTCAACCTTTCTCACAAACGCAATTGGCTGTGCGAAAGGGATTGCTCAATAATTGGTATTTTATGTAGTTTGCGCATATCAGTGATTCTATAAAAATGTTTTCGCGGCTGTGCATCTCCAATTATGATAATTACATATGTGTTTTATACGATGTAACCCGTGCCTAGGTCTGAATTATCTTCACATATATACTGGTTTATATGTTAACTATTGCACAAATACAAATTGTGTACTTCTCGACTAAAGAAAAGAGTGCGATAGAGTGCAAGATAGTTAATTAGAGTTAGAGTATGGGCAGAGATAAATGTGATAAATGATAAATTTCCAACATAACCTAAAAACATGAATGTCTTACATGAATGCATGAGAATCGCAGAGTAGGGCGATGTTTCGACATACCTTTTCTTTAATATGTCAATAAAATATTGCCTGAGTTTGCTGTATGAAAACATAAATCGCATTTCTATAAAACATTTTTCATAGATGTTTGAGAATGTGATTTAAAACATTAAAGCTTAAAACTTTCCGGATCGATAAAAAACTCGACAGGTAAACTATATTTATCGATTTTGGGTGAATGTTGTCGCAAGAAATAAAGGCAATTTGATCCATGTTCAGAATTTGCAGTCTGCTATCTACCTAGGCCTAGTTTTTACCATATATCCCTAATAGGATCAAAGTTTTTTTTTTGCCTTTTACAAAGATTTGCACAAAAGTATTTTTTATTCAATTTTAATGAATATAGCGGAGAATTCAATTTAGAATGAACATTCGAAATGCTATCACAGGGATGATAAAAACTTATTTTTATATAGCATAAGTATTGGTAGGAGAGCTTTTATATCTAGAAAAAAAACTTTTGAGTTTGCTTTTGAAGCTAGTATATTTTACATTTCTTTTCTGGATTCATGCGCGTGCCCTTGCCACACTGAAACTCTTTGGCGAACTCGTCGAAATTGGAAAGCGGTCCGATCACCCGGAATTTTCCGGGCACATGTTGATCCGTGGATACCTGCAGATTGCGTACGCGTGTGTGCGCATCATTGCACCAGATCTGCGCATAGCTGATGAAGAACAGCTGCATGTTGGTATAGTTCAGCGTGGGCAACTTCTCCCTGAGCAGCTGCCTCCGGCCCTCGACAGTGGCCTCCAGTGTCTCCTGCAGGCGGCAGTAGGCGGCATACGCCAGACGCATGCCGCCATTGTCCGCAATGTTTTCCGACTGCGCATTCGACCTGGGAAGCCGCATGCCGTTATACGTGTAGTGACTGTACTGTTTCGTAAAGCACTGCTGCCGTTCCAGGAAATTGGTCGTGGACTGTGCATCCCACCAGTCGTTGATGTTGCCGCGTGCATCGAATTTGCGGCCGGCGTCGTCGAAGCCGTGTATTAGCTCATGGCCGATCAGCGAGGCCAATGTGCCGAACTTTATGGCATTCGGATAGCTGGCAGCCCACAGATAGTAGGGCTGCAGCAGGGATACTGGCACCTTGATTGCATTCTCCACCAGAATGTTGGCTGGCGTGTAGCTGAACAGATCCCCCGCTTCCAGCGGCTTGACGGGCTTGTGCAGCTGCTCTCGCTGCTGGCTGGCGCCCAGCATGCGTGTCTGGCGCAGATTTTCAATGTAATCCTCACGCTGTAGCTGCAGACCCGCAAAATCCTCGGTCAAGTTTTCATTGGCATGCGAATTGACCTGCAGTGTCATGGCCGCTAGCTTTTCGACGGCATATTCGCGTGTACGGCGGCTAATCCACTGCAGCGACCGATCCGATTGCAGCGTCTGCTCGAAGGTGGACTTCAGCTGGCGCCAGATGAGCTCAACGTCGGAGGCGGTGGCATTGTTGTTGTAGCGCCGAAAGATCATGTTGTCCAGGTTTTTGGCAAAGTACTGCTTGGCCAGCGATATGCACTTCTCCTGGCGCTTGGCCAGCGTCTTGCCGGGCTCCAAGGCGAATTCATCAATCAATCGAAAGAATATATAGTTGGCAACAATGCGTTTGGGCGTGCTCCGAATCACCCTCATTAGATTCTGTTGATACTGTGAGTTGAAGTCATAGACGGGGTCGTTGATTTGCTCGCCCAGCGATATGTTAACCAATCGCTCTATGTTCAGAACGGGCGCATAGGCTAGCTGCATTTCTGCGATGGTCGTCAGCTGTGAGATATCTGTGAGGTCGAGGCCGTCGGTTTCATCGATAAGGCCATTGGCCAGACGCACCTCAAAGTCCATCAGCTCCGTGGCCGTTATATGTGCCTGCCCACTTTTCATGCCCAGAAAGGTAATCAGCTTATTTGCGATACTGGCTTGAAAGGTGTTCCTGTAGACGGCTGTGTGGTCGTCTAGGTACATGCTGCGTGTTTCGAGCGGGAACTCCTGTTGGCCAATGTACGCCAGATTCACCTCGTTGTTGGCAAAGTCCTTGGTCACCTCAACGCCCAGGATAATTACTAAGCCATAGCGATAAGCTATATGCGCAACCGTTTCCAGCCAGTCAAAGTCTGCCTCCTGCCAGGCACCAGCAGGCACCAGCGCAGGCATTGTGCCGAACTCGGCTATCAAATCCTTTAACTTCTGCCGATAGCTTCTGTCCACCTCGTGCACATGCATGCAGGAATGGTAGAAGTTCTTCACCTGCACATCCTCTGCCGTGTCCAGGGCATCGTTTTCACTGTTCAGAGTGTGCTTCACCTTGCGATTGAGTCCTTCGGTCAGACGCTCAAACAGGCCCGTGGTTATCTGATTCAGCGTTGTGGCCGGATTAATCCTCGCCCAATTGCCGCAGGCAAATTCATAGAAATTCTCACACGGATCGACGCTCTCGTTCATAAAGTTTGCCATTTCCGCTGCCTTCGCCTGTCGCATCACCTCGTCTATGTAGCCCGTATCCATCTTGCTGTCGGATATGTAATCGGCATCGACAGGCGCTGCTCGGCCACATGACAGCCGGAGCAGCAACAGCGGCCCGAACAATAGAAACCATTGGGTATGACTCATTGGGATCAGCATCTTTCGCGTCGCGTTGTTTCTTATTGGATCTGCAGCTGATGACTGAGCGCGCTGGCACTCATTTGTGTAAATATAGAGTCCACCTCGTCTATATAAAGATGCACAGACACTTAGCCCACTTGCTGATAAATGAGAGCAAAACAGGCCGAGCTTTGGTGTGACCCGTTGGGTTATCTCTATGAATACGATGTCGCCACAATTGAGACCCACACTCACAAAGCTCGAGTTAAAACAATTGCAAGTCACCCAGCTTGAAGCAGATGTACATGTGCAGGTTTACACTTATTTACCCACGCCTAGTTGTGTCTAAATGATTCTTAAAGCTCATTATTCAATTCATCGGAAGCTAATCCTATGGCCGACCTCACGTTATTTATACAAGCCCAACAAATGCGCGCGTTTTCCTGAATTTCTCAGCGTTTGCGAGAGATTACGACTTAAATGTAGCGCTATAAAAATCATGTCTCTGCAATTTCTGAGCACGTTTAGTTGTGGCATGAAACTTATCAACTTTGTTGATGGTCCTCAATTAAATAGCAAGCTGTATGAATTGAAAATCGCCTTGGTTTTGCTTTTACTTTAATTTTCTGTCATTAGAATAAAATAATGTTTTTTCAATTATAATTAAATATGCATATACAGTGACCATTAGTTAATCAGAGCTTATATGGTATATTACACAAATTTTCTGAGCTTAATTTAAATTAAAAAAAAAAAGTTCGTTAATCTTTATCAACTAATTTGTCAAGGCACTTTGAAACACACTTTTTTTCATGTCATTTACAATTGAAATACACATGTGCTTGTTATTGTCAGCTTAGGTGCTCCTCAGGCATTTGATGTGCCAATTAAGCATTGCCCTATTTCTAATTTATTTAAAGGATAAATGATTTTATATTTTAAAATGTATTCCGAGTCAACAAACCAATTGTATTTAACATTTTGTTAACTTAGACATGGATTTAGATTTTTGAACAAGACATTGACAATTTGAATTTGTTTAACTTCTTGTCAAATCTAAGTTCTTTTTAACTAAGTTATGCTGAGGCTCTGAAGGTTCGATGACCATAATTTCCAAAATTTATTCAGATATACCAATAACATTTAGTAAACCTTAACATGACATTGACATATGAAATACTATCAAATGTATTTAACTTCTAGTCAAATTTAAGTTCTTGTTAACTGAGATAGGCTAATACTGGCTTTCAGTGTAAAAGTTTTCAGTAGTTACACACACGATTATATGAATATTTAGGTAGAATTGATGTATGTATTTATTTACATAGAAGATATGAGCTTTTTTTTTTATTAAAATTCATTAGGCGTAAATGCAATAGATGTAATATATACAACTGTGTGTGGACAGAAACGACAACGTGAGCTGTGACCTAATCACGTTGCCTTCTCTATGGGCTTCTGTATACGGACTTGGCGTCGGACCAATGACCAGTCATAGCGATAAGGAAAAGCTCCCGACTCTCTGTGGCGGATTGAAAGTGCGTTGCGGAAGGCGATTTAGTCGCTCTTCAGCCATGAGACGCATGTGGTTCAGTGTGGTTAGTTGCGCTCTGTTGTGGCTGGGCTGTGTGCGCAGCCACTTGTTGTCGCAGCCGGAGGTGGATACACATATACAGCTGCAGGAGCAGCTCATATCGCAGCACAACGATAGCGCCTATGTGCAACGCGTGATGCGACTGGCCAAATCGGCGGAGATGCGCAGCTATATGCAGCCGGAGCTGGATGCCTGCGACGATTTCTTTGGCTACAGCTGCGGCAACTGGCCCAAAATCAATCCGGCTAATGCGGCTCAGCCTCGTGAGACCAACTACCAACAGCTGCTCGCCAATGGCTATCAGCACAAGCAGCAGCGCCTACTAGAGCAGCCAGCGGATGCGGACAGCGATGATGCGGCTGTGTTGAAGCTTAAGCAATTCTATGCCAGCTGCCTGCGTTTCCGGCAGACGCCCGGAGCTGTCTACCGCCAACAACTGCTGGAGATTGCCGCTGAACTTGGACGCATGCCCGCACTGGCGCTGCCAGGTCAGCAGTGGCCAGCCGATGGGTTTGACTGGTTGGCCACCGTGGCGCATATCAAGCGCAAGTACGGCCTGGACATTATATTGCTTCTGCAGCAGGCGCCCGATCCGCACAACAAAACCCAAAGTCGTTTATATGTTGGCCAGCCGCCTCGCTTCGTTGTGGAGCCCAATCGTGCAGCTGTTGTTCAGCGCATAGCCATGCAGCTGGAGCAGCACTTGGGCGTGGAGGCGGCACTGGCGCGCAGAACAGCGCAGGAAATAACCGATTTGGAAATGTTGCTGGCCAAAGGCATGTCGACTCGTCCAATTGGTCCACTCGCTCTTCCGCGATCCACTGTGGAGCTGACCAATGCCTATGCGCCCACATTGAATCTGACACGTTATGTGGAACTGGCCTTACAGCGTCCATTACAGCCAGAGGAGATGCTCTACGAACATGTGGTCAGCTATCAGGCGCATCTACTGGTCGTGCTGGCCCAGACGCCGCCTCATGTGCTGGCCAACTACATCTTCCATAAGCTTCTGGAGCGTTTCTACTACGACCGCGCGGCGCCAGTTGTTGGCCAGTGCTTGGCCAACGTACGACAGCTGTTTCCCGAGCTGCTCAACAACATGGCTTTTCGGCAGTATGCCGCTCCGGCGACCCTGAGCGATATCGATGCCGTCTGGCAGCAGATCAAGCTCAGCTTCCATAATGTACTCGAAAGCTCCAGCACAGATTGGTTGTCCGTGGCGACGCGCAGCCATTTGCTGGACCAGCTGAATGCCACGCGCCTGCTGATCAATGGACATGCGCATCTGAACTTCACGGAGCGCTACAAGCAGCTGGAGCTGAAGCCGCAGGATTATCTGTTCAATTTGCGCGCAGTGTTGGCTCACAGCACTCAGTTCGGCACGCCCACTAGTTCGCCCACTGTGCCCACATACGATCCAGAGGAAAATCAAGTACTGGTGCCAGTGGCACTGCTGCAGCCTAATTTTTTGTGGTCCCGCTTTTATCCACGTGCGCTGCGCTACGGCAGCTTGGGTACAATTATTGCGGAGCAGCTGGCCCACAGCCTGGACAGGCGTGCTGACTGGGATGCGGCAACGCTGGCTGAGTTTGGCAAGCGCAAGGCCTGCTTTAGGCATCAATATGAACGTCTGCGTTTCGCTGGAGAGTATCTGCCAGCCACTGAGCTGCAGGATGACAATATTGCGGACAATACGGCCGTGCAGCTGGCATATCTGGGCTACAAAAACTACCTGGCAAATCTGGCCTCGAGCGCATTGATTACGGAATATCTGCCCCAGCTGAGCCACAGTCCCCAGCAGCTGTTCTTCATCAGCTATGCCCAACTTTGGTGCAACGATGCCAACGAGCAGTTCCGGGATAAGCAATCGCTGCTGGCCGCTGGGACGCCGAATGCGCTGCGGGTGCAGGGAGCGTTGGCCAACTTGGACGCATTTGCCAGTGCCTTTGGCTGTGCCAACGAGACGCCCATGAATCCCGAACAGAAGTGCCACATGTACGCCAAAAATTTGAATTAATAAAGCCGACTGGTCAGAAGCGTTCGAATGCATCATTTCATTATAAAACTTAAAGCTAAAGGATTAACATTTCAGAGCTGCGGCTTAGTAAATGGCGCACTTGAACTCCGGATCCATTGGCGCTTGCTGCGAGCAGTTAAAGACCCACGAGAACTCCTGGAAGTTCGACAATGAGCCAATTACACGATACATGCCCGGCGCATGATTGTCCGCCTTGGCCACAGATGTCTTGAAAAAGGACTGGACATCGTCACACCAGAGCTGCGCGAAGCTCACAAAGAACAGCTGGCGATTGTTCAGCTCAAAGCCGGCCAAAGTCTCCTGCTCCAGCACCTCAGGCGGCTGCTGCTCTAGCCAGCGCTGGTAGGCCTTGTAGGCCAACTTGATGCCCGCATTGTCCGCAATGTTCTCCGATTGTTCCACGCTCTCCGGCAGATGGGTGCCGCCGTATTTGTAGGCATGGTACTGGGCCTGAAAGCACTTGCGCTTCTCCTCAAACTCATAGCGTGATTTGTCGTCCCACCAGGGCGCCAGATTGCCATTGGCATCATAGGTGCGCCCCTCATCATCGAAGCCGTGAATCATCTCGTGCGCCAGTAAATAGCCCAGTGTGCCATATTTCAGGGCCTGCGGATAGTTCGCGTCCCAGAAGTAGCGCGGCTGCATCAGCGCCACGGGAATGGTTATGTTGTTGTCCAGTATGTTGTAGGCGGCCGTAAATCCCAGCACATCAGTTGCCTCCAGGGAGGCGGGCGCACTGTGCAGCCTGTTCAAATTCCATTTGGCCTTCGCCTTGAGCACCTGCTGCACATTGAGCACATAGTTCAGCTTGTCCACAGCCATGTCGCCGTAGAGCGCCTCGAAATCCTCATGGTCGTACGAGTTGATATACAGCTGCATGCGATCCAGCTTCTCAATGGCCAGCTGGCGTGTTTTGTTCGATATCCAGTCGAGCTTGTCGCCCGCCAGCTGCTGCCGGAACGTCTCGCGTATCTGCTTCCAGACGCTGTGCACCTCAGCCTCGGCTTCGGGGCTGCGGTAACGCTCATAGATCATGTGATCCGTCAGCTTGGCAAAGTACTTCTTCGTCTGTTCGGTGCACCAGTTGCGCATCTCGCTGGGCTTAGTGTCGATGCTGTATGGCTCCAGTAGCTTCCACAGCACATAGTTGCCTATGGTCGGCGTGGGCGTGGACTGGAGTGTGCGCAATGTGTTATTCAAATAGCTTTCGCTGTAGACATATATGTGCTCCGGCACATTATCTTCGCCGAGAACCAGGCCCAGAAACTCTGTAATATTCAATTGCTCCGAATATCTCTCCTCCAGTTCGGATACCGTGTAAAGGGTCAGATCATCCGCCAGACTGCCACCATGACTAAAGCCACCCGCTATTAAATTGCGCTCGAGTCCGTTCATCTCCTTTGCGGTTTGCTTGGCCAAGTGCTTGTCTACCGCAAAGTATTGCTGCAGGTCCTCCGCCACGGCTGCATCCTCGAGGGAGTTCAGCATGGGTATGGGGGTATGTTTATTGTCCGGCGGGCCCAGGTAGACCCGATTCACCGTATGGTTTGCAATGTCGGACATGACATCCACCGCCAGAATGATCTGTTTGCCGTATTTGTGCTGTATATCCGCTACGGTGCGCCACCAGATGAAGTCCGAGGCGTTCCATCGCGGACCCTCGAGCATGGGAAACTCTCCATATTCGCGATAGATTGTCTGTAACGCCAGCTTATACTGCACATCCTCACGTTGTATTACCAGGCAGGATTGATAGAAATTCTGCAGCTTCTCCTCTAGATTGGTTTTCATCTGTCCGGACTGCAGCAGGCGCTGCAGGCGTCGATCAAAACCCTTGGACATAAGCTGGAATGTATCCGTCATTATGTTTCTCAACAGCTGGGCAGGATTGTGACGATGCCAGTTACCGCACGCATAACTATAGAAGTCGTCGCATGGCGCGATGCGCGTATTCAGCATGCTCTTCATTTCTGCCACCTTGGATTGCCGTATAATCTGCTTCGCATAGTCCGTGGTTAGATCATCGCGCACGGGCGTGCTGGCATCCTCCGCCGGCAAGGCCAACGCACTGGTCAACACCAGCCAAAATACAGCCAGCCGCAGAGCGCCGTCCGCCGTCAAACACCGTCCTGACATGATTCTCGCCATCGATTCAACTGAGCTGCCAAAGTCGCTTTGTCTGGCTGCACTGTTTCTCTTATCAGTGGGCTTTGTGTTTTTTTCTGGCCCCGCGCCGCTGGGGTAGGTCAAACTGTTATCGCATGTCTCGAGAGCGAGCTCCAGGCTGAGCAGACTCTTATACGAGCAGGCTAGTAATAACTATACGGGATATATATACCCGCTTGATAGATCGCGTGTACAACAATTATGCGGCTATAAAGGCAAATAAATTGTTTGTGCTACAGATGCAAGTCATAAATTAATAATTTCTTTTATTTATTATATTCGTTTTCTGTCATTAATTTTAATTGAAATCTAACTATCAACTTGAGTATTTACATAGCTCTGTCTACTGTGGCTGGGACTCGCAGATTCGCCTCCTACTATTATTAGTATTTATTTGCATAGAATAATATTAACTAAAACCATTCAGATGTTTAGTTTGTCAGTTTGAACTATGCTCTTAGCCCTTAGCCCAGTTTTAAAGACATCTTGATAAAACTGTGCGTATAATTTAATTAATTCGTATTCCGTTGAATTGCCTTGCATTACATTATATAGCTATCTTAGCTATGTCTTCATATACCTAATATACTAAAAGCAATACCTGATCCAAATTAGGCAACTTTATCTTATGTATTCCTTAGAAATCAAACACCATCTGAACAGACATTTTTGCCTGCTTAGCCCTCCTTACTTTGCTGCTTTCCTAACTATGAAATTGATCTCTTCTATTTGCAGCAATACCAATATTTTATATACTGGCGATTGTGCCGGGTCTGATGCCATGGGACAGTGGCTACAAGTTCCTTTCGTTTTGTCACGTATTTGGCTCGGTGGCGCCTTGGTGCGGCAGTTTCGTGTATCATCTGTTTATGAACATTGAGAAGGGCGAGAATGTGTACTATACGCTGCTCAAGCTGGACATGGTTGGAATCTGGGTGAGCCAGAGTTTCGGTAAGTGAGCGTAATCTGAAAAACAAAATTTATAAACAACAAAAAAAAAAAGTAAACACGACTCGGAAGCGGGAAGCATAGAAATATCAACATATATTTCAAGTACAGACAGCTTATAAGTAGAGCTTCTAATCAGTTGAAGGACAGCCTCAGTAGATAACGCACTTTTGCATGGGATTCATATGGGCGCCCTGGCGGCACTCGTAGGCCTTGGCGAATGCATCGAAGTTGGCCATAATCGCATGAAGTCTCACCTCATCTGGCGCATGCTCATCACTGATGGCAATCGTGTGACGCAACTGGGGCAGCAAATCCGAGCACCAAATTTGGCCCAGGCCTAGGAAGAAGAGCTGCTGCGGCGTGTGCGACATGCGAGGCAATGTCTCCGAGTCCAACGATGATTGCCTTAGCCAGTTGAGGTAGGCGGCATGGGCAATACGCACGCCCACATTGTCCGCTATATTCTCGGCCTGCATTTGCATTTTGGTCAGCCTTTGGCCATTGTAGCTAAACCTACTGAACTGTTGCACCAGGCACTGTTTCCGCTCCTCGAACTGTCGAGTCGCATTGCGTTCCCACCAGTCGCGCAGATTGCCCTGACCGTCAAAAGTGCGGGACAGATCATCGAAGCCGTGGGCCATCTCGTGGGCCAAGGAGAAGCCCACAGTGCCATACTTGAGCGCCATGGGATAGACTTCGTCAAAGAAGTAGCGATGCTGCATGTAGCTGGCCGGTATTACAACACGATTAAACTCCGGCACATAGAAGGGCGACGTATTGATGCCATCATAGTTATTGAGATTGGGTGCCCGTTGCAGATCCTCGCGCAAATGCTGGGCGCGTAGCTCCAGCAGCCGTTGCACGTTGCCAAAATAGTCGGCATTGCTAATCACCAGACCGCCATAGTAATCCTCAAAATCGTGTGTGTTTGCGCCAAGTATATGAAAGCTCATGGCCTTCAGCTTGGCCAGGGCTTCATTGAGGGTCTGTTCGCTTAGCCAATTGGTGCTGGGCGCGCGCAGCATATCGCCAAAGGCAACTTTCAGCTCCTGCCACAGCTGACGCAGATGGCCAGGTATATAAGGATTCTGTTTCTCGAGTGAGCGATATACCATATGATCCACAAAGTCGGTAAACAGCAGCGTGGTTTTCTCCGCGCACAGCTCGTGCTGCTTCTCTGCAGTTGCAGCCGGCTCCATGTCATAGTCGCCAAGCAGCGTGGATAGCATATAGTTGGCCAGGGCACGCTTGGGCGTGCGGGCCAATACCTTTTTGACTTGCCACAGATAGCTCTCGACATACTCGTACACGGGCAGCTGATAGTCGTGATTGAGCCAGATTTGCACAAAACGCGTGAGATTCAGTTCGGGGCCATAGCTTTGGCTCATTTCGTCCAGCATGCGCAAGCGATTCATCTGGCTCGGCGGTAGCTCCTCCTGTGGCTCAATGATGCCGCGTGCCAGCTCCATGTTGATATTGGCTATTTCGGCGGCCGTTTCCCGGGCACGCACCTCGCCCAGGCCAAGCAGCTGCTGCAGATTGTGCTTCAGTTTCAACTGGCTGCTCAGGTGTAGAGCAATGGCCTTGCTGCTAACCAGGTCATCCCGTTGACCCAGATACAAACGATTTATCTGACTGTTAGCCAGTCCCGGCGAGACACGTACGCTGAGCAGCGTTTCCTTGCCATATCGGTTCAGCAGGCGCGCCATCATTTCAATAGGCTCGAACTTGGACTCATCCCAAGCGCTGCCCTCGAGCGCGGGCAGACCCCCAAACTCTTTCAATATGCTGAGCAGGTGTGGACGCTGGTTCAGCTCCATTGTGCTGGTATTTAGGCAGGACTCGTAGAAATACTTGACACGCGTTTCTGTGGGACTGTCGGTGCTCAGCTTTGGCTGCCTGAACAGCTGACGCAAGCGACGCTGATAGCCAGCGTTGAGCTCCTCAAAAAAGTCGGTGCTGATTGTTTCCTGCGTGGCCGGATTGATCCTGGCAAAGTTGCCGCACGCATAGCCATAGAAATCATCGCACGGCCTCACGCTGCCATTTATGTAGGAGCGCATGCCGGCGGACTTGGCCTGCCGCATGATCTCATGCGTCAGTGGTGTATTGATATTCAGACTCTCGAATACGCCAGCGTAAACAGCGTCTGGCACGGTCAGCAGCCAGCAGCCGATAGCCCAAATGCTGACGGAAGCGGAAACAGCTCTCATCTTGCGTTGTGTCACGCGCGATTGTCGTTCCCCAACTGAGCTCCAGCTGCTGGCGCTGCGCCTTATCACTGATTAGTTGCCCAAAACAGGTGTCATCGGCAGCAGCAACGATGTCGCCTTCGGCTTGGACATCTCATGCCTCTCAAGCAATTGTAGCTCTCTCTCTCTCTCCCCCTTTCCCCCTCTCTTTCTCTCTCTCCCACACTCTCTTGCAGGTGCGTTGCCGCTGGTTACGGCGACGACGCTGTGCTTTTCTCCAATTCTTAAGTGGTTTATTATTACCGCTTACTGTCTGCTCTCGCTGTGGGGTCTGTACAAGGTAAGATATTACTTCGAAATTATTAGTATATGCATTTCTATTTATTTTATTTACGGACATAAATATGCATTCTAATAAACGCATGAGCATAGCCTTACAGAGCTGAGTCCCACTATTTTTTTATTCTCTGCATATCGTTCTCTACATATTTTGAAACCTCTAGCAATTCCCTATATATTAGCCAGCCTTACAGAATCATTTTAACAGTTCCCATTTTGATTTGAATCGAAACTTACATTTGATACCAGGCTCTTTCTTTACAGTTCCTTCCCAACAGTTCCCACTATTTGATTATTCCCTGCATACGGTATTCTACATATTTTGAAGCTTACGTTTGATTCTTCTTCAGCTTTTCAAACGCATTTAACACTATTATTTCAATTCATAAAAAAAATACTCTACATTTTCAAACTTACATTGAATACTTAGCAAACTGTAAACAAAAAAGGCTTTCTTAACAGCTCGAACCTATAGGGAAATCACATTTTAAGAAACTTTGATATTCAAATGTGAACCTTTTTTGTACTTAACAGGCACTGACCGCCAGCTCACCGTGGCAGAGGCGCCTTTGCTTCGCGCTGCCCTTTGCCATGCGCTCCGTGCTGACCTTTCTGCGCATCCAAGGGATGGTGGGTGGCAGTCACATGGCCCTTTCCCATGTCTACCTGCAGGTGCGTATAATATGGCATTCCAATTGACTAACTTGCTATTTTTTACCAATCATTTTCGGCTGGCTTGTGCGCATACTTAGGTTGAAGTTGTAAGTTGAATTTTCATATATTCTACACCTACATATGCATATGGACCAAGTGTAAGACTGGGCCGTATGCAACCGATATAATTGGTGTAATTTAAACACCAGCCCAAAAAAAAGAATGTCCCCAAAACTGAGAGCAATTTCATCTTTGCTAATACAAGACTCGTACATATTATTGGATCGCTTCAGGATGGCGTTTCCATATTAGGCGGCGCTATTGGTGCCATGCGCATACCCGAAAAGTGGTTCCCGGGTCTGGTCGACTTCTATCTGAACTCGCACAACATTATGCATGTGCTGGTCGTGGTGGCTGTGTACTCCATGCACAAGGTGCTTTCACTCTGATGTAAAAATATATGCTTTGACTACAGCCTCTTCCATTCGGCAGGCCACAATCAAGGACTTTGAGTGGATGTCTACTCAGACCTGCAATTCGCTGGCCAATGCTACCGAACCGTCGCTGACCCATATGGAACTATGACCCGCTTACTGGCTGCTACTACTCCTGCTCCTCACACTGCTGCTCTTGATAAAGCCTCAACCACGACGCGCACCAATCAACTGGAAAATGGACAAGGAGCATTCGCGGGCTGACTAGACAAAAGCCACAGCCAAAAAGGAGGGATTGAAAAACAAAGCAAAGAAAATGCTTCTCGAAATATACCGTGTATAAATGAGCGCGTGCTGTAACAGTAACAATATGAATAAGTTTATAATGAATAGTGAATATATGTACATATGTATATGTATAATTAGTACATACTTCGACTGTGGTATTTAGTATTAAGGTGACTATGAAATATGAATGAAGTGAATTACAAAGCGCTTTCAATTATAACTTCTTTGCGCTACTCTCATGCAAAGCCTCTGAGTACTATATGAACGATAATTTCAATGATGTTGATACATATGTACCTCAATATGCTTACAACCAAAAAAAAACCAAAAAAAAAAAGAATGAAAAACAAAACAGAAACATCTAATTTTCAAATACTTATATAACTTTGTACCTCGTCGACTATAAAAGAAAAACGAAAGTTAGGCATTAAGAAACTTAAAAAAAAAAATCTTCCTAGTTGAATTACTATAATATGAAATGTCTTTATTTGAGAAAGAAAAAAACCTCTAATGCGTATTTTGTGCAATTAGTTAGATGTAACATTGGACAAGTGTGAACAAAATCTTCAAGCTAATCGCTGCTGAATCGAATTAGTAAAACTTCCTAATTTTCAGCACTCCTTACGTAGCAAAAAATAAAACTCCGAAAATGATATTTGATAAACTTTCCCTAGGTTTTAAGAGGCAGATGTAGAATAATACAATTATAATACGACAAAAGAATTTGAATATTTCCAAAAGTTGGAACAATTATGAGTAATTAGCGTTTAGTAGTTTCAATAATTTACACCACACCCTTTAAAGAGAAAGCTAATATAATTAATGAAACAAAAGCTAACAATATTAGATGAACAAAAGCAATAAATCATGAAAATTAAATGCTTGTAACAAGTTGAAACTCTATTGTAAGGCGCAATTATAGCATTAATATTATAGATACATATATATGATTTTCCGAGAACGTTAATAAACAGTAAACGCGTACAAAAAGCAGAATTTAATTGCAATATACAACCGCAGAACTTTTATTTAACACTTTCATTTCGAAAGTCTGTTACAATAACCAATGTTTAAAAAATGCCGCGCCTCTCAACACTAACCAGAGCTAACCACTTAAGTGTTGTTAAGCGCTGTTAGTATTTTATTGACTTACAGATATGCTGAAGTTCAATCAAGACATGATTAAACAAATAAACGTAGCTTCTATGCTTTATTGTGTCATAAATCATGACATATTTTTTCCCGCCACAATTAATGGAATAAAATACTAAACGTAGTGTGACCGTACCACTTGCAGATTAATGAAAAACATCAAGTTGGCAGCACTATTTCGTTTCGTGTTACATTGTAATTGTTGTTTTGCGTTTTGCTCACAGTTGTTTCTAATTATATTATTATTAAAGGAACGTGATTAAAGCATGAGCACGCAAGTAGCAGTGGCCGAGCCAACAGGCACTAGGTCGGCCAATTTCTTTGCGCTGCAGGCGGCCTTCGAGGTGAGAATCAAAAATACTGGACTGCTGCTGCCTTGAGGCGACACCGGTAAATGTTATACAAATGCTTACAGGCTGCCCTGGACCAGGCGATTGCCGAGAACAATGTCGAACTGATGATTAAAGAGTACCACAGCTTTCGTGCCAATTCCGAGCACGACAAACGCTCACCCATGGACCAGGCCTTTCGGGAGGTTCTTATGAAGCGACTGAGCGACGATGTCGAACGCATTGGAGCGCTTGTGCGCCTATCTGTGGACGCAGCTCGTGCCGAGATCGTGTCGAACACAATACCAGTTGTGCTGCTAGGCGATACCTTTGATGTGGTTACGCTGAACAAGTGCGAACTGATTTTCAATTTTGTGGAGGAGCTGGTTGAGGTTTGGAAGGAGGAGATATTCTTTGCCTCCTGCAAGAACAATTTGCTTCGCATGTGCAACGATCTATTGAGGCGTTTGTCCCGCACACAGAACACCGTGTTCTGTGGACGCATTTTGCTCTTTCTCTCCAAGTTTTTTCCATTCTCGGAGCGCTCCGGCTTGAACATTGTATCCGAGTTTAATCTAGATAACTTTACGGAGTATGGGCTGGACAGCAAGGACCATGATGACATTGAAAACAAAGAGCTACAAGATACGGCCGAGGATATACCGCTAAAGATTGACTACGATTTGTATTGCAAGTTCTGGTCGTTGCAGGATTTCTTTCGCAATCCCAATCAATGCTACAGTAAAGCGCAGTGGAAGATGTTTCAAATGGTAAATCATTGAATATCTGCTTGCTTCATAAGAATAATTTATTCTTTTCTCTGACCACAGCACGCGGAGACCATACTACAGTCATTCTCGAGTTTCAAATTGGAAGATGTCCGTCAGAACAGTGACACCAATAGCCACAGCGACTCGTGTCCACAGTTGATGGATGTGGACATGGACGATGCTACGATAGATGCCGCTATGTCGGTTGCCATGCACAAGGAAACGAACTTCTTTGCCAAGTTCTTGACCAATCCAAAGCTGCTCGCACTCCAACTATCCGACTCAAATTTCCGGCGCGCCGTGCTAGTGCAATTCCTCATACTGTTCCAATACTTACAGGTCAGCGTCAAGTTTAAGATGTAAGTTACCAATAGCTGCTTAAGAAGTTCACCTTGCGATCATTAAGAGTTGTACTTTGTTTTCAGTGACTCCTACACCCTGACAAGTGCGCAGTCCGATTTCATCAAGGAAACGGAGCAGCGCGTTTACAAGCTGCTGGAGGAGACGCCACCCAATGGCAGACGATTCGCGCGCACTGTGCAGCATATGCTGCAACGCGAGGAGATGTGGAACAATTGGAAAAACGACGGCTGTAAAGAGTTTAAAAAACCCGAGGAGCCGGAGCCCAGCGAAGATGACGCCAAACCCTCACCTCCAAAACGTTCCAAGCGGCCATTGGGCGATTGTCTGCGCGATGCTGCACGCAACGGCAAGTTCTTCCTAGGCAAGTGAGTAAATCTGTGTCTGCTGCCCCTAACATAATTATAACCAATCGTACTTGTTAGCGATAATCTGACGCGCCTGTGGAACTACTCGCCCGACAATCTGCAGGCCTGCAAGAGCGAGCAGCGTAACTTTCTGCCCCTGCTGGAAACATATTTGGAGACGCCGCATGACAAAACCGATCCCGCCTTCGAGTGGCGTGCTCTGCGTCTGTTAGCTCGCCAGACGCCGCACTTCTTTACGTTTGTGTCACAGCCATCGTGCAAGATATCCGACTATTTGGACGTGGTGCGAAAGCGCTTAACGCGCGAAAAAGAGCTGGTTAAGCAGACAAGCACAACTACTGCAAATGCGTCGGAGCATAATAATGGATTGGCTGTTAACAGCGCACCCTCAGAGCAGGAGCATGAGGCATCAGTTGCCTTGCAGGAAACTGAGCCCGAGCAAGACTTGGAAGTCGAGGACTCTGAGCCTGTGGTGGAGGAAGTGGACGAGACGCCCGCGCATGAAAAACCGCTGATGGTTACTAGCGCCCACATCGAAGAGATAACACCATTAATAGGCGAGCCGTGGATGAAGGTGGGCAAAAAGATTGGCTTCAGCAATGACGAGCTGCTCTTCTTTCAAATGGAGAATCCAACACCTGGCGTGGCATGTATGAAAATGTTAACCAATTGGATCTCAGACGATGACGATGCCACGCTGGAGAACTGGGCCTACATGTTGGAAGGCTTGGAAATGCACAAGGCGGCCGATGCCGTAAAGGCGATCATTGAGCGCGAAAAGGCAAGCAATTCGCAGCCACAGGCCCTATGCCAGCAGGATGCGAACAGCAACGATGTGGAAATCCTGTCCGATTAGCAAAGGGAAACGCGTTATTTACTTTAATGCTGTTATAATATATTCATCAAATCCTTTATCACATGTAATAAACGGGCATGTCAAATTCCCAATTCCAGCTAGCGCTTCTTCGCTGTCTGCTGTGTGCTGTTCCGGCGTGGCTTGTTGTGTATCATTGTGGCACAGCGTGGAATGTGCCGCTCGGCGGCCTGCTGATTGAAGCGCCTGCTGCAATGCGGGCACTGTATATAATCCGGATTCTCTGATGGCGGCGGCGGTGGCAAATCACTTAGTTTGCCGCCGCGAGCCAAATGGGCCTGAACTTTTTTGGCAGCTCGTATGGCTTCAATGAATTCCTCGTGCTTCTTGCGCCAGTTACTCTTCTTTACGCCTGTTTTCAGACCCTGCTGCTGTGCGGCACTGCTGTATGCGGACTGTACGCGGCTCAAGCCTGGCTTCTGGGCCTGCTTGTTAAACTTCTCAGTGTCGGTGCCCTTGACTCGCTGCTTGGAGGCATCGAATATCTTGCGCTTGGTGGTCATGGTGCGCTGGCACACTTCCTCATGCTTAGCCAAACGGTCAGTGTTAAAGTGTCGGCCGCAAAAGCGGCAACTTTTGGTGCCCTCCGGCGGCTGTGCGTCCTGGAACAGTACATGAGCAACATAAGTATATCAATGCTTGGATTCGGGCACTCACCATTTGAATTTTGGTAACTGGAGATTTTGGATTGATCTATTTCCGTTTATACATTATTTAAATGATTGTTAACTTTGAATATTTGAACTCAGCCAAGTTGATGCGACTTACCTGACGCGCCTTTGGCGGTGAAACGCGGCCTCTTTCTGACAATGGAGCTCGTACAATCGGCGGACGAGCAGCTGTCGTTGCCGGCGTGCCGGCTGGTTTCATTGTCCTGGCTCTGGCGCTGCCTGGTGGCGAGGAAGTTGTGCGCACTGAGGTTTCCTTCTCCATTTTGGGTGGAGTTTTGCGTGTTATCACTGGCTTCAGGCGATTGGCATTTATCGCCGTGCCCGCTGCATTGTATTTGCTGCCGCTGTTGTTGTTGCTATCACTGATCAGATGACGGCCAGAGACTGGCTTCTCCTTGAGGCTCATTGTGGAAATACCCTTGGTGAGCTGCTGCTGTTGGGCGTGTGAACGCGTTTCGCTAATGGGCTTGAGCGGATTGCTGCGATCAATGCCGGCGCCACGACGACGCTCATCAAACATTTGACGCACCTTGCCATTGCCTATGAGCCGGCTGGAGGCGGCTCTGGGCGAAGCAGCAGCCGCTTGGTTAAGCTCTAGACGTCGCTGCTCTTGTTCGACCTGTGTCTTCTGTTGGAAGCGCATCTGAAATAAATTAATTGGAATTTGAGAAGGCTTATCTTAACAAAGCTAATCAGCCGCATAATCGCCTCTTACAGGCGCCGAATTGTTGATATCTCCGTGGCTAGGCGGCAGATGGCTAAGCGCTTCCATCAGCCGCCTGGCTGCCCACGATTCGCTTAGCTTAAGCGGCATTATATGATCATGCGTCGAGTCCGGCTCCAAGTCGTAGTCGGCATCGTTTTCGTCCTCGTCCGTTAGCAACATGTTCATGTTCGTGCGAAGCGCGCGTGTCGACTAAAACCTACGTGGAACTGGACATTAGCATGTCCTTTTCCCCCGTGTGGTAATTAAGTGAATGTGTGCATGTATTTGTGGGTAGGTGGTGGTAAGTTTGTCTATTCTACGCCCCACTGACCGAACGATGAGCCATACATAACCACCCGTCGGCCCCGCTCTGTCAACACACCAGCCACAAGCCAAATCTGTGCCCACTTACATGCCGCCAGTACATAAAGCCGCGTGCCACCCGACCCGCTTGGACAAAGCTAACCCTGGCCGCCGTCTTAGCTGGCTTGGCGAAATAGTTGGCGGTCGCTGGCATGCTCCTCTCCTAAAACTCAATCACTGTATTTGCTGTGGCCAGCCATGGCCAGTCACAAGTTGAGGAAATTGAATTTTATATTTTTCTTAGATTGAGCAGTTGACAAACCAACGTGACTGCCTCTTGCTGTGCCTTTATTGCTCTTGCAACAACAAGGTTGTTTTTATTTGGTTGTTGTTGCTATTGCTGCTGCATGCCAATAACAAAAATCAATGGCTGCAACACGACCCTACGGGTTGCCATGGCGCAGGGCGGCACACGGACTTACAACAAAAACAGTCCACAATGGCAGAGAAAGAAAGAGAAGTACTGAGAAACCATGCAACATTTGTTGCATTTCGACAAAGAGACGAGCAGCCCCTGGCAGGTGACAAAACTCAGGGGTGTGTTCCGTCTCGCAGGATTGTGCCCGACACCTGATGCCGCCCCAAATCAGCGATATAAATCTAGTGCAACAATTTCCGAGAATGTTTAGTTCAGGTTTCGTTTAAGTGTGTGTGCTTATGGGTGGGGTTGTGTGTGAGTGTGTGTGCGAGTGTGTGCGTGGGTGTTGTGTGGTAGTTCTCTGTGCGATTGTGCTGATAATCAACTAGCTATTTGACAGGGGCATATGATTATATAGAGTACTCGAATATTAAGTATACGTCAATTAAATAGCACAGTCCATATATATATAAATAAATATATATATATATATATATATATATAAACTGGCCAACTTTATCGAGTAAACATAGGCCAAAAACATTAATTACGATAATTTCTCTACTAAGCGAATTTTTGAAAATATCAAGCTATTTGTTTGTTTAATTGCTCGTTAAATTACTAAAGTTGAAGTTGAATGAGCGGCGTAAATAATATAATTGGCATAGATAAGCTTAATGTCAAAGACATCAACTGGGCAAGGTTTCTGTCACACATTCATTAATAATAATCTTAAGGTGTAATAAATATGTTTCGTTTAATAATTAAATTCGTATAGTATGCATGTTAAGGAAGTCTATGTATAAAGGCTTTATTAAGCCATTGTTTTTATTTTATACTAAGAGTTCCCATTAGCCAACTATTAGCCAAGAGCTAAAATTAATTGGCTGACATGTCGCTGCGAAACAGCAGCAGCAATAGCCCAGCCAGGGCTAATGATGAGCCAAGTCTAGACAAGAACATCAACAGCATGAAGTCGTGCCCATGTATGGAGCGTTACGGAAATTCGAGTGCCACACTGACTGTCAGCTGATTGCCAAAAATGGGCCAGACTGTAATTAATGGCCAAGCGGACTATTGGCCAGAGCCCAGAGACGGCTTTCGTGCGCTCGGCACGCTTCCTGTCAGACGCAGCGAGACTTACCCGCATTTGTGCCAGCCTTGAGGTTGGGCAATCAGCGGCATCTTGTGACGCCATCACCAAAAAAAGGTCGCTCTCGCAAAATCGAGTCCCAGTAGTCTCTGAGCTGCGTCGTGTGGGCAGCAGTCGCCGCGACGATGTTGGCGATGGCAATGGAAATGGAAATGGCGATGGCGATGACGCGGCACAGCTGCTTGGCAAGTGTAGACCCGGCTTAGATTCTCCGATGACTCATGCACACAGTCGGCTAAAAGTTTCGCTTTTCGATGTGCCTAAAAATAGCTGCAAAAAAAAAGAAAACCAAAAACAAATCAAATACAAGCGGCTTTTGAGCGGTTTTGAATGTCGCCAGGAGGCGTCAATGGAAACAGGCCGCAAATTGTTGCTTAACATGTCGTGTGGGCGACATCTGGAAGTCGAAGATCAAGTCGAGATCGAAGTTGAAGCCGTACCCAGTTGCTGGCAGCACTGGGAGACGTGGGCCGTGGGCCGTGGACCGTCTGCGACATTCAGTTGCTCCAAAAATGGGCTGCTCAATGTGCAAACTAATTGAATTGAATTTTATTCGCTTACCGAATTAATTGAACTGCGTTAACACCAGCAGACCTAATACATATACCTATGTATGTATATATATATATATATAAATATTAGATATATATATATGTATATGTATATGTATATGTAATGTAAGTGCGTATGTGAGTGCCAACAGAACCTTGGTTCTGCTTAAGTGATATTGGATACAATTTATGATACGTTTTTCCTAACGAATTACTACTAAGATTGTAGATAAGCTCTCAAAATATAATCATATACAAAACTAAATACGTATCTGTTTGTTTCGGAATTTAATTTTGTAACAATTTTGTGACGAAACTGTCATCCATACTAATTTCGAATTTCAACTGGCAAGTCAGAGCCAACTAAGTGCTTAAAACAATTGCGAAAATTATTAATTGGCACGTTTTCCACTAGCTATCGAAATTTTAAAGTGAAAATATATGAAAAGCTCCAGAAACTGAATAGTTTTGACTTATATCAAATATTCCAATGCCAATAGCTTACGTCTCTAAGACCTAATCTGACAATGTACTATTATTATATTTTAGTCAAGGGAAGCTCATTTATATTCGCGCCTAGGGTATTGAGCAGTCGGTATTGTCGTCGCACAGCAAGCACACAAAGCAATTAATTTATGTTTATTTTTTGGCACACGTTTGAATCTAACTGTTTGTGTGTGTGCATGTGTGCGTACGTATCTGCGTGTGTGTGCGTGTGTGACTTGAGGTGTTTTGTGTGTTGCTTTTGGCTGCGCCAAGTGCTTTGATTTGCATAACTTGGAAGCTAAACAACTTACCAGCTATGCGCCGACTGCGATTGAGAAATGTTAGCCAGAGGGTGAAGAGGGGGAGGCGAACACATACAAATACACATACACACTCACACACACCAGCTAAAACAGGCAACGGGCCGAGCCTGCTGGTCGATCCACGGCAAATGGCAGCAGAGTTTATTGACACACTTGAGCGTTTGTTGAATTTCAAAGCACACGGTTCAAAGTGGGGCACAGGACAGCGCCAGTTGGTCAAAACTGACAACGGGCCGTAATTACGCATACGTCGCGTGCGCCCGAGCCAAAGTAGAGGTGGCTAAACAATGTATGCGGCAGCCGTGACTCGGCTTGGACTGTTTACTTAGAAGTTTGCCCGGTGACTGAGACAAGATTGCGGCCGCACACAAAGCCAGCTAAACGGCCAGCCGAACAAGTTGTGAGCAGGCGGCGGCTGCAGCCGCAGCTGGCAGAGAAAGAGACAGCGACAGCGACAGAGACTAAGGTAGCGGCAGCAACAGCGGCAGCGGCAACGGCAGCGACTGAGGCAGAGGCAACGCAGTCGCTGACAGTGCACCGATCAGTCGATGACGATGTGAATGACGCGACAATATGAATGTATGTGTATGCCGTGTCGAGGGGGCGTGGCAGTCTGTGAATTAGTTTAAAAAAAGGGGAGAGCAAGAAATAAAACCAAATGTGCGTGCTTTTGTTCCACAAATATATATATATTTATCGCTCATGTGCCGACTTCGCAATTGTAATTGTTGTTGTTATTCATTTGATTCTTTTTCGAACTTCGCAACGCCTAAACATGTTTGCTTTCAGTTTCAGCTTTAACTCTTAATCAACTTTTCGCTCGGATCGCAAGACTCATACAGTGTCATAGTACATTTTAAGAAGTTTGTCTCAACCAACCAAAACTATCATTAATCATATATGACTTGAGTTACCGATGTATACCCTTGCCCCTGCAGAGGGTCAGCTGGTTTGTTCAGCAACCTGGCACGGTCAAAATACAAAAGCAAATATTTTCTTAAATTTGTTGAATAATTTTACGTAAAAAGAAACCTTTGAAAACTCATATTAATAGTCATATTTGTGTGCACTCTGCAAGGGTATTCAAAGTTCGGTAGTGAAAGTTTGCTTATTACTCACATTGCGTTTCTTTGCTCATCATTTGTTTATATAACAATTATTATTCATTACTTTTCATTTGCTTAGGTTTTACTGCGGTTTTGAAACCTAATAAGTGCGCGCCTTGCCTTGTGTTTCATTTTTCGTGTTGTTTTCTTTTTAATCAAAGTTTGAGCGAATTATTATCATGTTTTTCTCTTTCGACAATTTCGTACATATCGTGTACATATCATATACATCGAATGTGTGTGCACTCTTCGTGATATTGAGTAATCGCTTGATAACCTTTCCAAAATATATACTTCACTCAAATGTGAGTTCGTGAATATTCGTTCGTTTGCCATATCTTTAAAGTGCCTTTTGTTATTTTCCGGCTTGTAGCTCATAAAATATTTTGCTGGAATCATTTTTTTTGTTTTTTTTTTTTTTTGCATACATTTTTATATATATGTATTCATATACATATATGTATATGATTAAAAGTATATAGACACCGTGCATGTAAATACATACATATTTAGTAGATTATTGATTACCCTTGCCATAGTTAAATCAGATTTGCAACTACACCAGAAAACTCTCATGGAAAATAAGACAATTAACAATTATCTGTTTCCGTACATATTTTCATTTGTGTATAAGCATAAGGGGCTCCATGAAGTGATGTCTGGAGAGTTAGCAATTCGTGTACGATAAAGTCAATTGATTTGGTATGGATCTGATTTCTGCATGTTGCTTACATATATTTGCTTGTAGATTTATATTTGCTTGTTTTGCCAAAAATCAAATACAAAGTTTACAGCGATTACAAATACGAATACAATTACAAATACACACATGACATTCGAAGTCCTTACAATACACATACGAGTTCGGGTACATTTAACAATGACACGGCAACTTGAACATCAAAATCAACAGCAACAGCAACAGTAACAACAATGGCACTGGGAGCTGACAGCTGACAATAAACAACAATTACTTATTATTAATTCTAAGTACTAGGCGAATGCGGCGCAGGCCTAGGCGTCGTATACGTAATGCATGCGCAAAAACTGCCCAAAATGTTGCCCAGCCAATTGACTTGCAAATTTTCGCCTCTTCTAAAATATATATATTCTATATATTTATAATCTTACACAGTTGAACTATGTGAAGTCGCTTGGCTAAATACGCGGCAGAATTACAAATAATGATTTTGGCCTTTCAAAAAATATTGAAAATGCATATTTAACGTGTACAAGTGATCTACAAAAACGTACATTTATCAAAGTATAAATGTTATTGGTTTATCTTTGTTGCTTCATCATTTTTTTTTTGTTGAATTGTTGCGTATTAATAAAGATTAGAAAATAAATGAATAGCGGAGGACTAAAGTACATTGTGTATGTACATAGTATGTACCGTGTGTACTATGATTAAAACCTGACTTTTGAACTTTTCAATATTCGGTTGTTGTTCGCTTTAGTCATGGAGTTCTTGTGCGATGCTCGCGGCTACTTTACACTTCCTTAGCTCCTAGTACAGTTGCCACAAAAAACTCCAACGTTCCGATTTCAATTTCAATTTCATGAATCGATTTCGATTTCGATAACTATTACTATTCTAATACGATTACTAACCAAACGCAATTCGACGCGAAGCCTATTAAACTTTTCAATATGTGTAACTCCATTCTTAATATCCGTGATTGTCGAAGTTGTTTTTTGTGTTTACTTTTTCTCTTTTTTTTTTTTTTGTATATTATTATTATTCATTATGGTATTTAAGTTGAAAAATTGAACAACTTGTTCAATTTTTTGTCGCTCTCTGTTCCTGCTATGCTTCGTTCGACTATTACATTCAATAACATATCGTTTATTTGGGCTACACTTCAGACTACAAGATAATGCTGCCTATAAGCACATCGATCAGCTGTCGCTGCCTTTAACTACTTACAAAGATACTTTTCTAAACATTTTAAAGCCAACATTCAATGCGCTCTAATTTAACGTCTATACGACAATTGCTTAAGTCTTTTAGTCTACATGCTTTTATAGGGGGTTGTTCTTTCGGTTTTCTCATACTTCCATTTAACATTTATATATAATTCTGGCTATATATATATATATCGATCTGTGTGTGTGTGATAAGTGTGTTAGGGTGTTTAACAGTAGCTGCGTTAACTAAGGCTACGGGGCTCAGGTTTCAGTTTCAGTGTTTGTGTATTTTTAGATATCGATATCGATGTCGATATTAATATCGCTTTCGATTTAACTTTGGTTGTGCTTTTCGGTTTTCATCGACTCTTCAACTGTTAAACACATATACATATATATATAAGTATATATGAATATACTAGGCATTAGCTACTGCTAGTATACAAGTACATACATATACACACTTATTTTGGGCTATATTTAGGGGCATACGATGTTACGTACTGTCGTCATATGCAGAGAGGCAAGAATTTTCTTATTACCCGTTTTTGTTTTTGCTAAGATTTATCTTGTTTAATTTTTTTTTTTTCGACTTTTTGAAAACCTCCACGTTATTTTTGTTTAAATTACTTTCTTTGGTTTTTAACAATTCTTTAAGATATTCTTTGTCCTTCAAGACATTTAAGACTTATTCTAACATTAGATTTCTAAACATTGTTGTTCAAGGTTTTAGTAGCGGCGTTTTTTGTGCATTTGTGCACAAAAATGTTCAAAATTTTCAAATTCAAATGAGAACTTTAATGTTGTTCAAATAAACAAATCGCAAATGTCTGATGAGCCTATTAAAATGGCCGTTTCAATAAGCATTAGTATTCGGAATGAAGGCCCCTGATATCATTTATAATAAATAACATTTAGTTTTGAAAAAGAATAATGTAGACGCCTGAATGTTATTTGAAACATTGCAATTTCCTAGAGGCAATCATTATTCATATAAAGATATTAAATAATTATCAGTTGCATTCATTCTAAACATTAAAACTTATTCAACGCTTCTTGCGTCCGATAAACGGTGGATAATTGATGCATTTGCTGCATTTAGCCCTATGTATAAATACATAAGATTTGTAACTGATTTGGTTTTCTTAGCATATTAAATATATTTGCGGTTAGTGTAAGTTGTTTATTTCATAAACTTTACTTTATCAGTACGGGTGGGTTTTTGTGTATTTCAGTTTCTAATAACTGACCTGTCTTGGTGTGCTTGGGGCTTACCGATGCGCATTATAATTAGGCTGAACTATGTATATTCAAGTGTATTTGTTATTAACCTGGTTTTCCTCTTGCTTGGTTTGGGCCATTCTCAACTCAATGGCAAAACTCGTCTCCACTACATACTAATCTATAAAAATGCCGTATGTGAACATAGCCAGCATGTTCTACACAATTACAAATGACAATTTTTCAATTTCGCTAAATTAGCTGCGCTAAAAAATTGTTTAAAAATTGCACACGCTACAATTGCGATCTTCGGCATCGAAAATGTTCGGGGGGAATTTTTATAAAATTCATAAAAAGATGCTTAATACCATAATAATTTGTTGTTGTCCCTTACTATGCAAAATATGTTGCCTGCTTTCAGGTGCACGTCAAGACATTCTTGCTGTCGTTCTGTGGATGTTGCTGTGCATCTAAGTGTATGTGTGTGTGAACTGTGTGTAATGTGCAGTTTATTGGATATACATAATTTTCGATAAATTGTCATCTCTGGAATTAATTCAATGTGTTACACTCGCATGTTGCAGCTTAACTTCTTAATTGGATTTTATACGTAATTGGCACACTAACAACAAACACATACACAGACAGAAACACCAAACACAATTAAAAATACAAAACACGCAGTCAACACAAACATGCAGACCCTCGATACACATACATGCAGCTGCACCATGATGCGTATACTCAACGTGACCCTGCCTCCACGCAGGAATATGTATGGAAATGTCTGCATGTGTGTGTGTGCATGCATGAAGACCTGTGCCACTTGCAGCGCCTGACACAAAAGGACAACTAGGCATGGATGATTCTATGACAGCGTTAATCACTAATTTCTTCGAACTGTTTTGTTTTTGCAACAACAAGTTGCAATAATTTTTGTTTTTGCTAGAATTTTGTGTTCATTCTTAATCCGCCTCACGCGTTTTTTGGGTGGGTTCGACTGCTGCTCGGCCTGGTTACCTGTGTGTGAGTATTTGTGTGTGGGTGGCATGAGGTGGGAGCTTATTGTTGCTGAATTTAAAATATGAAATCGCCACAGTCCATGGCATAGTCAAAGTCCTCACCGCCCACATCATCGATGCCCGTGGAGTGAAAATCAAAGCCGCCAATGTCCGTGTGGTAGACGGCGCCACTGCACGAATTGTCGATTAGATTGGTGCAGTGAGTTGTTGGCAGTGCATGAAGGGTGAATGTGTCTTCACACTGCGACCAGGTGAGACCGCCACTCCAGACGCCATTGGGCAGCGTGGCCCAGCCCCAGCCATGACCCCAGGGCAGTGCGCAAGCGAGCGATGCCTTGGAGTCCGCCTTTTTGCTCAGTATGGCCACGGCGGCATCGCTCTTGATCAATGGATTCTGATTGTACAGCGTGCGCTGTGTGGTTAAGGCCGCCGAGGAGCTGCGATGATGTCTGCTGGTGCTATGGGCCGCCGACTTGCGCTTCTTTACCTCGGAGTTGGTGGCCGCTGTGGTGGTGGGTAACACTTATGATATGTTATTACAGTCCCGTAAGGGTCTCATACTTACGTCTTATACGCACAAGCGGACGCCGCAACACATTCATTAGTTGCGGCTTATCCACGACCAATTCGATTTGCGGTGGCGGCGGCAAAGTTTTAGTTATGGCGTCAATCCAGTCGCTTACCTCGTGCTCAGACTTGGCCAGCATCCAGTAGACCTTGGAGCGCTTGCGACGTGACCCAAGCGCAATTAGCTGTGACACGCTGACGCCATCGGGCAATGGGGGACGACGCGGTATCTGGCCGGTCCAGTGTGCAATGGCCAGCATCTCGGGCGCCTCCTTGACCAATATCTTGCCAGATGGCGATGAACGTCCTGGCTCCGTAAACCAGGCCATGGTGGAGTCATCATATAGTATAACCCATTCCTCGGCCCAGCGGTTCCATAGCATTTGCTCTGAAAGTAAATTTCATGTATTGTGTTCTGTGTCTTAAAGCTCGGGATGAGATGTGCTGCATGCTGGGCTAAGCGCAGATAATGCAGTCATAAATCTATCAAATGTCTTTTGCAGTCATTGCAAAGATAGCTTCAGTTTGTTAATAATTGTATGCATATAAGGCACCTGTCATATTGACGTTGTCAGATGCAATTTGTCAAAAACAAGATTTTTATTTATGAATTGTACTCACTTTTATATCGTAGAAGGTAACCGCCTTTGATTTGCTTGCCGCCGGTGCCTGCAAAAAAAAAATCGAAAACAGAATTGCAAAATGAGAGCAAAATTGAGTTGGCGTAGAACCCATCTACGCGGCTTCCGCTGCAGCAATCGTTCGATGATTAATTGAAAACGCCGTTGCCAATGCCATGCTCCATACTCCACACTCCACTCACGTTTCTCCAATGACCGCTTGCATTGACATCCCTCTCTAATCTGGCTGAAACCCAAGTTTCCCTGACAACCGGACCTGTATTCCGAATGTGCCACAGCTCTGTAGGAATGTAATAGTGTGTGCGTGCGAGTGTGGTCGTGGCTGTGAGCGGGTGTGGATGGGTTTTAATTTCTTTCCTGACAAACAGCAGCGTGCAAAACTGCGAAAAACATGAAGTTTTAATCATCTCTCTCATTTTGGGACAGCGTAATTCTGCAGCCCTCTGACTATGCCCCGCCCCCCTGAGAACCAAGCGATGCATGATATATCTATCTATATATTAGCACCCGTATTCCGATTCATTTGACTAATTAAATCGTATTCGAGGAATAATTGGCAACACGGAAATGCGAGCCTGTGGCAGAGCGAATTAATTATCTTAATAATGATGGATCGGACGTGGAGTGTTCGATTTGCCTGCACTGTAAAAACCTGCATCCACAATGCAAATTGTGTATTTAAAGCTATTTTGGGCCAGTTGAACGTAATCTTTTATTGAATGCAGGACAAAACGTATGTATGCAAATACGGTGAGAGTAAATTATTCAGTGTCCGAATAGATTATAGTGAAAGTAAGGTTAATTGAATCAACCTTCGTATAAATGGAAAAATTGTGTTTTTGGCAAAAGAGTAAAACCAAATTAAATATGTATAATGTAATGCATAAAATGGCTTACTATACATTTCCACATACAAAATTAACTGATAAGCTGACGTACTGATGTATATATACTTAGTCGTGCCACTTAGCATCCTTTAAGGACTGCAGTTGAGTAGCCAATCTAGATATATATATATAGAGAGAGAGAGAACGAGAGAGATATGCCTATGTATGTGTATATGAGTGAAGATGAATATGATTAAGGCGGAATCGGGCGGGTAGTGCCTGACAATAATTTTACTTGGCTGCTGATAGCTTGTCAATGCAATAAGCTGACACAGCAATTGAAAAACGCTCAAGGCTTGGCTGCCAATTTCTCGGCAAACGCTTTGCTCGAGTTAACCCGAAACGAAATGCAGACGTTGGAGGATATAATACAAAGATATCCATACACATATACAGATACATATACATATAGATTTATATGTATATAGTATATACAATGTATGCATACATATTATAGCAAGAGTCGACTGCGAGAGACAGTAGTGGTTGGGCTCTGGCGTTGAGCTGAAGAACGAGGTCGCCGAAGGACACTGCGCCGCTTGTGCAAGCAGAGAAGCAGACAGTCAACTGACAAAGGACACACCGGACAACGGACATCATGTGTGCCACTTCAGTGCACGCATACAACCGCATCCATATTTTACATCCTACATTCACATCCATGTGACAAAGCAGCTGAAATTGCAAGTGGCTGCAACAGACGCCGACGACGACGACGACGACTACGGCAATGGCAACGAGCAGGCAACGGCTTAGACGACACACGGTTGCAAAATCAACTTGTACATAATTGTTGGAGCTACTGGGGCAAGTGTGGCTGGGGATGGGGAGACGGGGCAAGGCGGCAGCTGCTGTACACTTGCATGATTTATGCACGTGGATGCTTCCAACCTACTGACAACGACGATGACAGCGCCAGGAGCGCCAGGAGCGCCAGTCAAGCTGGCTGCCATGCTCGGTGGATTCATTTAACTTGCACTAACACACAAATGCTGCTAGGTGGCAATGGGTAGTTGATGTTGCTGCATTCAGATTGTTCTGTGCATGTTTCTGTGCATATATGTGTGTGTGTGTTGGCCTTAATGATTTAATGCAGTTTACGTGCTTGGGCAAAGGGGCGTGGCCGCGCCACCGGCGCTGATTGCAGCGTAATAACCGCCGCTGAATTCCACTTGATAAGTCGGAACACAAGTGGGCGTATGTACTTACATACGCCCATAATGAGCAGGTCAACAATGCGGCCGCAGCGACATATAGCGAAGAGCTAAAGACTGAGAGACAGCCAGTGCAAATTGAGAGGGAGAAAGTCAAAGAGAGAGCGAGAGAGAGAGAAACTGGGAGAGTGCCCACACAGACACGCACACACAGGCTCACGCACAAGCAATCTCTGTGCGTCTGTGTTGGAATTCATTGAGGAAAATTGGCAGCCAGGCAAGCGAGGCAACGAGCAAGATTCGCAAAAAACGAGTTCAAGGGTTTGCTCAAAAAATGGGGACAGCCCCGCGTTACACGCCCACACACACACACACAGTCGCTCATGCATACAGATCTATCTACACACACACACACACACGCACGCATTGAGCTAGGGCTGTGATTCAGCTAAAGCTAACCCTTTTAATCCTTTACTTACCTGCGGGCTGCTGCAGCTGCATTTGTAGCTGCGGCGAGAAAAACGACTCCTCACTTCTTGCCTTCACCTTTGAGCACATGGAGAACATGTTTATTGGCTTTGGTTCTTTGGTTATCTTTGGCTGTGATAGCAGCTCTCGCAGTATCTCGTATTGGCTGTGCTGGACTTGGCAGCTTCGTTAACGGTTAATTGATCAGTAACTGTGTAAGTGGTCGTAAGGTTTACTTCATTAACGCCTCAATTGAGCTTCAGCTCAGCCTGCCATTAAAAACAAAGCAGTGATGTCAGCAGCCAACACACACACACACACACACACACACTCAAACACACTCTCGGAGACAAGGAGAGAGCTATCTGAGCCGCCTCCAGTTGCTGGGCAGTACAGAAAAACCCGCGTGTTCCGTTATCAAAGTTACAACACAACACACACAAATTCACGCACACACTCTCACACTCACATACACACACGTACGCGCGCGGGAAAGTGTTTGCTGGCGTTGACGTCGCTTTCGCTTTCGTTTTGTTCACTCTTCACTTTCCCCCTTGTTGTTGTTGTTGTTGGTGCTAGCAACGCCTTTTCCGGTCAAACTCCTCTTGTTGCCGTTGTTAATAGTATTGTTGTTATTGCTGTTGTTGTTGTTGTGCTTCACATCGAGTTGCCGCTGCTGCCAATACTCTGATGATGATTGAAAGGGTCGGTCGCCTGCCGCTAATTAGATTTCCAATTGTGTGCGGTTATTTATTTATTTTTTGCACTTATTCGTTGCCTACTTTCGTGGGCTCGGGCTCTGGCTCAGGTCAAGTCCGGCACAACGAGAACCCATCCACTGGAATGGTTATGGGTCACTCCTGTTTGCTGTCAATCAAATCGCCTGCGAGCGACGCTTTCAGAGTGGCACAAAGCGCTTGGTTGACGCATTCACACTCAGATTTATTTAGATTTGATTTGGTTATTTTTGCTTTTTTTTTGGGATTTTTTGTCTGTGATTTTGAATGGACACAAACTGCTGCTGCGGCCTCTGCTGCTGATGTGCTGCTGCTATTGTTCCCTGGTGCTGAATGCCTGTGTCCTCCTCGGCTGAGCTTGTCCGCTGTCGCACCTCTGTTTAGTTGAACGGCCGAAACTCGACTGACGGACGCTGCTCGGCGAGATTCGGTGGCTAGCATTGTCTGGCTGTGGCAGCAGCCGAGTCCATGCCGAACCACTGACGAAGCCGCATTAAAAGCTCTCGTTTAAGGACTAGGACAACACAGGCATACACAGACGCGGGACGGCTTTTGCTGCTGCTGCCGCTGCTGCTGCTGCTGCGGCTGGTGCTGCTGCGGCTGCTGCTGCTGCGGCTGCTGCTACTGCGGCTGCTGCTGCTGCGGCTGCTGCTGCTGGTGTCCTTCAACGTCCTACAGCAACAACACGATGAGATGCGTCGAAATGCCGATTCCACTGGCGGCAAACGGCCCGCCAAACAGATGACAGCAGACAACAGACAGCAGTTAGCATCTAGCATCCTAGCCGCCCAGCATCCGAGTATCCCAGCATCCGAGCATCCCAGCATCGCAGCAGCTGAGCAGAACGCAACCGCTGCGTCACTTTCACTCATCCTCGTCCTCACTTTCGATGAAGCTGAAGCTTTATGTTTGTTTTTCCTCTCTCCCGCTCGTTCTCTCTGTCCCTTTCTCTCCCTCTAACACTCTCCCACTCTCTCTCTCTCTCTCTCTCTCTCTCTCTCTCTCTCTGTCTCTCTCTCTCTGCTCTCCTTCTGTCTCTTTCTCCTTTTAACTGGGGCTCTCCCGTGTTAGTAGGTTACGTGCACACACATACATGTGTACACACATACATGTGGATATTCGTACTTGCAGTTGTCGTCGCCCTCATTCGCCCCCCGCTTCATGTTGTCGTCGCCGTCGTCTGTCACCGTTGTCTTTCACTTTTGGGTGTTCATGTTTTTGGGCAAAGTACAAGTGAGTGTAGGGGCCGGAGGCGTATCTGGAGTCGGAGCTGGCATCGGGTTGGCATCGGGTTGGGCCGCATCGCATCGCATCTTTTGTTTGTGACACCCACTGGCAGCAGCTGCTCGGAGTCTGTTTTTCCCAGTGATAATCAGTAATAATGCGTTGTGTCACTATTCAAATGGACGTCTAGTGAATAAACAGCGCTCGGTACTGTTTCTTGACAACTTTCCCCACTGTCCTAACCTTAAATACTTGTTTACCCACGTTAATATAGTAAAACATTCTCAAATCGAAAGCATATATAACTTATATAATACAACCCTTAGCTTTAATTTTAACATATTACTTCTATTTTATGTACATAGCTTTTTAACAAAATCAAATTTAATATTAAATTTCATTTTTAAATGATTATATTTAAATTTAATTATTATAAATATAGTGTGCTCATTGTTGCGCTATCGAGCTTTTTTAATAGCTCTCACACTAGAAATAATGAAACTAATTTTATTTCTTGTGTTTTAATTTGTTTATATATTTGTTATATGTTATGAAAAGTAGGCAGACCCGATTGGGTCTGTGCTTATTACACCCTGAACCCATTGAAAATGGGTAAAAAGTGTATAATGTATTTGTGCAAATGTATGTAACAGGCAGAAGGAAGCATCTCCGACCACATAAAGTATATATATTCTTGAACAGCATCAATATCCGAGTCGATCTAGTCATGTCAGTCTGTCTGTTCGTCTGTCCGTCCGACCGTCTGTCCGTCCGTATGTATGAACGCAAGGATCCCAGAACCTATAAGAGCTAGAGACTTAAAATTTTAGCTGTAGGTCCTTCTAGTGTCCGCGTAGAGCGAGCTGCATTTGGTGTTGGAATAAGAGGGTCCAGGGTATTTCCTAGTCGGGAGCTGCCGAGTAGAGCCTCTTAATTGTTATTTATTTGCAAGAGTTTTAAAAAGGCAAGCGAACCCGAATTGGTACGTGCCGATTGCAGCAAAGTGACAATTGATTAGTTATTTATATACTTGTTTGAATAATGCAAGTGGCCAATTCATACCAAATGCACGAAACAAACGAAGTTAACTAACTAGGCCTTAGCATAACTTAATGCTAGGGCAACAAATGGTTGTAACAGCGAATAGCGCCAGATCAATGTCAGCAATGACAAGAGAGAAAGTTAAGCAGTTGCTTTACAAAGCAATCTGATTAACTTAATAACCGGAAGAAAATTAAAAATACATTTTGGGGGCAACCCCCAACGCTTCAGTTGCAAATCATGAATTGTGTGTAATATATGAACATAATAGTTTTTCGATTATTTTTAGCCCTTTTTACTAAATGTTGACCATCATATACTTTTTAAATAATTTTGCTAATCCATCACCCTATTATTTCATATTTTAAAATTTAAATGCACAACTTATTTGCTTTAAACGTGACATCTACGACCCTATGTCAGTTAGTTTGCCAACAAGTTTCTCAGTTTTAAAGTATTCAATCGATACATAAATCGAAGTTGGCCGGATCGACCGCTACATACATATATTGTGCAACTGCCATATAAACAAAGTTTTTATATAAAAAATTACTATTTTACGAACTTTTATATGCTACATCAGAGCTCTAGATTTGTTGCATACAAAATGGGGCTTATAGTATAGAATAATATATAATATATTTGCAATGGTATTTAATGTTTTTATCCCAAAGTTAACTCTTCTTTTTTTTGTTGATAAGTTGTGGGGATAAAGTCTACCTCCAATGGACTTTATATACTAGTTCTGCCATATACAAGCATCTACAGTATGTCAATAAAGTGTTTTGACTAGCGAAAAAAACGCATTTTTTAGTGAGTAAAAAAGTGAAATTTTCCTTATATAACTAATTTAATTTGATTCTAAATTTTTCGTAGAACTTAACGACATACAAATTATTTAAATAACATTATCTAAAGATTTTATGGAATTAAAAAACTAAAAGCATTCAAATTTTATGCTGTCAATAAAGTGTTTTTACACGAAACTTTATTGCTAAATAACAATGTAAGAAAACAGGAATATGTATTATTTTTATTTAATATTTTGTGTAGCGGCCTTTAGCATCTCATACAGCCTGCATTCGCCGTTCCATTGATACAACAAGGTTTTGTATGTATGTTTCCGGAATCTTCTGCCATTATTCCACGCTTGTAAGAACACTTTATTGACATACTGTATATATTTCCCAAAATGTGCAGTTTTGCCTGGCTGGGCGTGTGGTCAGGTTGTCAGGAACTGATTTAAGTGCAGCGAAAATGCATTTTGAGTTTAGCGAACATTTTGACCGAGATGATTGCATTATGGCGAAGTAACCAAATTACAACGCAACTGGATAGTATCCGCTTTTGCATGCCGTGACCAAAGTGATGCGCCATAAAATAGCGTTGATTTTCGCTACCTGGTCACCTGGCTACCTGGTTATTGAACATAAGCCTCTTTGTTACCGGTGGTTCAGTGCTGCATCTATTCAATTGTGTGTCAAGCAGTTCTTTCAATAAACAATAAACAAACGACAGGACATCTGCAACCACTTAACTCAGAGCTAGAGAGATTCCAGCGGCGATTCCTTTGTTCCTTGTTCGTGCTAGTCGTCTACATGCAAAATGTTTTAAATCGCTTACGCAGTAGCATTTCACTATATAATGTATATACCAGCGAATTTTAGCCATTTAGAGGAATGGCCTAAAGCGTCGTTGATCAGAAGTCAGTCGGTCAGGGCAAAAATATTTATATATAAAGGCTAGCTGGCATATTCTGGCCTTGCCCGTGGAACGTTTTGTGCTAAGAGTTTTAGATATTACCTTTCCAATAAGTATACGCCATTTTAGTACCTTGGTGGAAATCTGGATCCCGAAAAGTAGATTTTCTTACGAACTATGACCCGTATTTTCCACCCAGATTGGATGGATTTTGTAAAAATTGTGAAACACGTTTAAAATGAATTCTCGTAAAGATTTTAGCACGAACCTATCATATATTTGACCATCATTCCAACAAAATGGGATGGAAAAAGTGTGAAAGGCCCCTCAAAACATGGAAAACATTACAGCTTTAAAACATTGAGTAATTTTCGTTAATGTACAGTTGTGCAATGCATTCACTGAAAGTTAATTAGGATTTTAGCGAGCATTTTGCCGGAAATTATTGCATTAGCTAAGTAATAAAATTACAGCGCAACATAGTGTTCCGGGAACAGACATGACACCATCCGCTCGTGTGCACTTCCTAAAATGCTGTACAGTAATATGTCGCTGGCGTTTGCCATGGTTACCTATTTATTGACCGGGAGCCTCCTAATTGGGGTGTGCCAATGGTGCACGGTATTAATTATGGGCAGACGTGTGTTTTGGCTGGCGCTGCCCATGGCCAGCGGGAAAGCATCATTCGAGTAGGATTTTATGAGTAATCAGCAGAGTTAAGTGCACTGCGACCGCCTTTTAGAAAACTAAGGGAATAGCTCATTTTGTGAATTTTGGATCAACTTCCAACATTCGTTAGTTGGTTTCCAGTCATAGCCTGGGTTGCTGTCTGGTAGCAACAATAGCAGGCCAGGAAGCTAATTAGGAACGTTTTGATTTACATGCCTAGGTCCTAGTCCATCAAATCTTGCCGCTGTCCAGAAGGGTGATATCCTACTTTTTTGCTAAATCGTCAGCCTCGTTTCTCGGAATTCCAGCAAAGCCTGACACCAATCAGAAAGTTACCCTATTGGTCTTGCATGCTCATTCAGGAATTAGACTCCCGGCCGTTCCAGCTCAGACATGACCTTGTAGGCGGTCAACGCTTAGATCTCTACTTATGAATACAGTCGATTTCAAATTGAGAGATGCCAAAATATTATATTTTCCCACTGAGTCTGAGTCTGAGTAAGCGTCCGTCATATGCTTTCCTTTCATATTGTAGGTGAGATAGGTAGAGAGTCTGGTCTATTCACAATTACTAGTTGGCTCTGCGCAGCAGTGGTCGCTACCTACTTCCTGTAATTCGAATTTGCCTTGTTTTCTTCTTTTTTCGATGTGGATGTAAGCAGGTTTATCCCAGGCAGAAGTCTGTAGCCACTGAAGGATAATAACGCATTGCGCCCGAGGCACACGTGTCTGGCGAATTATGGTGCCATTGACGCTTGCGATCATTCGCTGCCTGGCGCTCCACTCTGAAGGAGACACTGCCCAGCGCTATAAGTTTCGCCTCTTTCGGTCGTAAGCCCCTCTCCAGGTGACTAAGGGACCAGCTTGGAGCTTGGCTACTTAATCCTACATAAGTGGTTGCCCAGATTCGCGTATGGGAGGACACCGATGCCGGACACCGCATAACCAACCTCTACTTGTGGTGTGGAGGCAAACTCCTTTGTACGCAACGGCATGATTACGGTGATGAGCGGGGCACCTGCTCGGCGGATACATTCTGTGTTAAAGTTAACAAGAGACCCGTTGCGCCGCAACCATCGGAAAGATTTAATTTCTATGAAAGCTAATACAATGATGGCTTAGGCCAAAAAATATATAGGTTAGCGCTCAATCGACTTTACTTTATATCCTGCGTGCTTCTTATTCATGCCATATACAAACATTTGTGTGAACACCCAAGGCCACATATTTATGGTAAGTATTCAGTATACAAACATGGTATATTTTTAAAGCAACTTAATATAGAGCTCTGCATTGCAGGAGCGACGGTCGAGTTGGGTCCTGATTTAAATACAGCAAAAGCAAATTGTGAGCTGTGAGCAAATTCTGAGAACGAGCTATCTGCCAATGCATGCAGTTCCGTAATGTGGCATGGGTGTTTGCCATGGTTACCTTTTTATTACTGGAATCCTCTTAATCTGGCGTGTTACCGTAGTCTACTATTTATGGTTGCTGCACACGGCCGACAGCTTAACTCAAATGCAATGCTTCAGTTTTTAAGAGGGAAAGGATGACAAAAAGAGCGACGCATTTATGGAACACATCAAGCATATCTTTCAATAAACAATTGGCAAGCACACCTGCAACCACTTAACTCTAGGCTAGAACTCTTGTCCCAGAGCTGAAGCTTTACTTTGTCGTTGTGGGCTGGCAATTCTTTTGTTCCAGCCTGGACGGGGTTGATGCCGATGCCGATGGCAGGTCCTGCCTTTGCATGCCAGCCCAGTCTCAAATCAGTTAAGCAGTAAGCAAAGCAAATGCAATGCCTGAAGGGGAGGCACAATGTTGGCTAAAGGGAGGTCGTTGGGGGCGGCAATGGGCAAACTAGCCCCCAGAGCTGTACATATTGGAATCTAATGCCTTTGTGAGTGGCATTAATTTGATGCTGCAGTGCTGGGCGACAGCATTTGCTGGCTGCTTGAGCTTGAGCTCGAGTTGCTCCCATGTCGCGCACCGCTGCAAATAAATCCATTTTAAGTTCATTTCTTGGAGAAAATGTGTCGCCCGCTTCGTGGCCTGCAGCTTCTTTCAAGGCCTGGGCGTTTTCACTTTCGGTTTCCAATTACACACAGCTGCGCTCACAGACCCATCTTTCTCTCTCTCTCTCTCTCTCGTTCGCTGGGTTTCTCCGCATGTTTGTGTCTAAAACACACCCAGAACACACTCACATACACACACAGTCGTTTAAAGTGTGTGGCCCGGTTTTTGATTAGCGCCCGCTCATTCTCCTGACCGTGACACAATTTCCATTGTTGAGCAACTGACTCAGCCACAGTACCAGCATCCTGATATTGAATCTTTTGCACAGTAATACAGGCCACACACACACACACACACACATACACACAAATGTCCATATGGGGCATATATAGATATATAGATGACCTGCTCATGCTATATCTCACATATATATAAATACATATATTTTATCAATTGAGCATAAGTCAAGCTGAGCAAAATTCAGGTGAAAGTTTTGAGCACTTGTTGGTGATTAAAATAAATTTTATTATCATTTGGTGATTTCATTTAAGGCTCTATCTTGTACAACATTCATTTACTTATTACACTGAACAACGAGTTTACAAAATATGTATGCAGAGGATCATGTGCACAGACTTGCAAGTAGTTCCTCTTTTATATACAATCGCTTGGCTATTGTAACCCATTTAGTTAGGTGTCCAGATGCCTTTCGCGACACGAACAAGCAGGACTCTACCTATTCCTTGAGTCGGTTTTGATTTTATATAACTTCGTATACATACTTGCACTATAAACTAGATAGACAAATTTCACTAAAACATGTTTTAAAATGCCATTTTAACTTGAGTTAAAGCGTCTTATATTAGCTAGTTGCCAAAAATTATGCTACGGGTTTTAATTTTTCATTTGGTTATTGAAGCTGTGTAATACTCAAGTTTTCATCACATTAACATAAAATGGATATGGAAACGCACAGATGCGAAAAAACATGGGAGTATACAATAAGGACACCAGTTCAAAACATTACATGCTATATTAAACATTAAATGAGAGGTCAAGTTAACATTTAGCAAAAACAGCTAATAACAAACTCTAACGCAGAATGTTCGACCGATCCGTTCAGTTCTGCAGTGCGGCACGCAACAGGCTGTCCAATGTCAATTGGATCGTTCCGTTGGCGGATGCCTGCAGTACGGATTGTGGCTTTGGTAATGCTGGAAACTTTGCGGTCGTACTCGCTGCCATTGGAGGTTCCATGCTGCTGAGGCACTCCACAACGGTGGCTGGCAAGGGCGAAGCAGGCATTGCCACGTCTGAGTTAGCGGATGTATTCAGGGCATTGTTCGCCCCGTTCCCTTTCCGCGGAGGCGATGGCGGCGTTAGCTGAAGCTCCGTACTAAGGCTGTGCTTGCCGTTAGGCGTCTTGTGCAGCGCGTCTAACTCCACTTGGGGCTCAGGCATCGCTTCCGCTTCGGCGACGGCGAACGCATCCGGCACTTCCGGCTTCTGTTGTTGCGCAATGGCGTTGTTTACCTTTTGCCATAGATTGGTGATGGTTGCATCCTTGCCGGCAGCTGCCGTGCGCTTGGCAATCCTCTCAATAAAGCTCTCGCTAACGGAGATGGCTGGAGCTGTGTCCACCACATTCTGCTGGCTACAATCGCTGCGCGTATAGGAAGTGAGACGCGGGCGGATTTGCGGTCGCTCGGCAGGCAGCTCCGGAAGTGTTGCAGAGACTGCGCGTCCTTCGCTGACCAGTTTTAGCATTATGCGACGGGTGATGCCCCGCACCAGGGATTTCTTGTCCTCGGTTATATAGGGCTCCCATTGCTTGGGTTTGGACTCCACACAGGCTACAGCCTGGCCAGGTTGGCGACGCAGTTTGGCTCGCATCGACTCAACAGCGTTCAGTGCACCAGATGGATCCGCCTTGAAACTAACAAGATCATAGACAAAATCTTTGTTGACGGCCTTAACGCGTTTCCTTATGGGTCGTTTCTCGGCGCTGCGCTCGCCAGTGTCTGGTGAAATTTGCGTGCGCGACTTACGACGCTTTTTGTTGGGCACGGGCTGTTGCAATTGCTCCTCTTCTAGTTCCTCCTTGATGACGAAGGCGGGGGCAGCGGTTGCGGCTATGGGCGAACTGGGCGCAATCTCTGGCGGTGGCTCAGTTATTGTTTTAACGCGCTTCATACGTCTCTCATAGGTTTTGGGTGCCGGCTTTGGCTCGGCAGCTAGCTCCAACTCCGCTGACTGCTCCTTATCTAACAGTATAATATCAGCATCGACATCATCGCGTGAGTACTCGCACTCATGCGTGGAGACATACTGCTCGGTCAGCCTGTCGCGATCGCCCTCAATTTTGTGTGTGAAACCCAGGTGATTGACTATGTCGTAACGGCGAAAGGCGCGGTAGTCGCATATGGTGCAGCCGAAACGGCGAGCACGATAATGGAACATGGAAATGTGGCGTCGCAGATTGCCGAGCGCGTTGAACTGCTTATTGCAGATCTTGCAACGACAGCGCAGCTGTTTCTCAATGGGCACATTGCGCTTCTTTTTTGTTTTCGATTTTGTCTCGTCAACGCTGGTCTGTTCGTCCAACTCCCGCTCCTCCTGTTCGTCCTGTTCGTCTTCGCTGTTGGACGCCTCTTCGCTAGATAAATCACTCTCCTGCTGTAGCTGCAGCTTGTCCAGCGATACGGTACGGAGCCCCGGTGCATAGTTTTCATTTTGCTCGGCCAGACCGGCAAACATTTCATTCAGCGCAGTAGAGTCAATGCTCTGCATATCCACTGCAACTGAGCTGGGGCTCTCGTCAAGCATATCCAGATTGGAACCACTGCCACCATTTGAGATGGCCTTTTGCTTCTTAACGGCTGGTGCTGGCTTGGCCAACGCCTCTTGCTTGGCGCGACAGTTTAGCAGATGCGTAGATAGCGCCGCACGACGCTCAAACGACTTCTCGCAGTAAATGCACAGCGACATGATCTTGCGCTGTTCCCCATTTGGATTAGTACGCTCGGGCACTTGTCCGACAACATCATCAGACAACTGGAGACGCTTTAGTTCACGACTTGGTCCCTTGGGCTGGACATCACCCTGCTGCATGCGGCGTTTCAGGATCGTGTTTCGCATCATGCGAATTCTTCGAGTTGGTTTTCTGACAAAGCAAAGAAAATGTAACTAGTGTCAGAGGGTGCAACCCGTGTACCCACTTGTGATCCTTGGAGAGGTGACGTATGACAGCTGCTGCCTGCAGAAAAGTAAGCGAGCAGGCTGGGCACTGAAACACAAACGCCGACGATGAATGATGCTTCTGTATGTGCAGCTCCAGTGTCTTTTGCGTCTGAAAAGTCAAGTTGCCTGGGACATACAAAGAAAAAGGAATAAATTCAAAGCCTACTCATGTTATTAACAAGATTTAGGTATTTTACATATTTCGCAGAGAATGTTCGTTTCCGTTTCGTCGCTGACGGACTGCTCAGGTGTTTCTGCCGAATCGCTACCACTTGGTCGCTCGTATTGATGTGGGTTCATCGCCTTGCCATCGGGTCCTACGATAGTTTGCTCTGGATTAAGCATGAGATGCACTTCGTTTAGCTCTGTTTTAATGCTATCATCTTGCTCGAGCTTTATCGTCTGGTAGACCGCGTGACTAGATGTCGGCACCGACTCCAGCTGCAGCACTGGCGGCAGCTGCTTACCTGCCGCAGTAGGCGCTTTCTCGCGACGTAAGCGTTCAATGACGCCACTTAAATCACGCATGCTGCCACGCATGGGACGCGCCTCGCGAGGCACCGGCGAACAGCCTGTGCTTCGACTGCGCAGCATGTGTTCAATATCCTGTGAGGCTCCTGCCTGAAGTATCATCGTGGAGTTTTGATCCTGTAAGCAATGTGACTAGTTGACTCATGAAACAAACCAATGGATAGCTTAGATTGGACACTGGCTTTACGGCTAACTCACTGCGTATCTAGTATTATAGCTCGTTACACGGGCGCTTATGCAGCAGAAGACACGTTTGTGGCTAATGAAATTGGCCAAACTGCGAAACATATTGCGGCACACGTTGCACTCATAGATGAGGCTGCATTCCTCGCTGAGCAGACGACGCACCTGTATGGGACAATAAAACTTGAATTAATGATTGGGCTAATTACAGGGCACCTACGCACACACACACAAACACCCACACACAAGCAAATATACAGTAAAAGCTCCTTTGAGCGGTCTTTTAGGGTTGCGCACTTGATTTCTCCAGCTTAGGGGATGTTCGTAAAAACATATGTGAAGGCAATAACAAAAACAGGAAAACAAACGCTATCATTTATATTCTTACATATTTCCGATAAATAAATATGAATGTTTGAAGTTTTCTAATTTGGTCAAAAGCAAACACCAAATTGTTGATGTATTGTTGTATTATCGTATAATCTGTGGGCTAGAAAACGTATGTATATGTTCCAGTTTTGTTATTTATTTGCAAGTAGGCAAAACAAAAGGATAGAGACTGCAAAATTTGGTCTGTTAAAGGAGCCATGCGCTAGGAGTAGGGCTTGTACATTGGGTTTGTTTATATTACGCCATTCTGGGACCCTGTTGGGTCACGTACGCAGCTCACCAACACGCCTACGATTCCGTTAACGCTGCCGCTTACCTCACTGGTTCCGTTTTCGTAGGCGCGTCGGGCCTCCTCGAAGCCTGTGTGGGCAGTTTGGAGGGGTCGCTGCAACAGGCTTAAGTCGTTGCCATCGCTCTCCATCTGTTGTGTATCCGAATTGCAGCGCGAGTTACGCTTCTTCATGGCTGTTGGCCGTAATTTGCTGCCGCTTGGAAAAACGCACGAGTTGTTTGTGTTATTGTGAACTGCACTTGTACGTACGCATGGGCGTATTGCACTTGTTAAAGTCTTATTTCAATTGATTAAAATCGGATTTTCAATTCGAATTTACGCATGCATATTGCACATTTTCTAATATTGCAGTTTTCGCGTATTCTTGTTCTCGCTGCTTAAAGAGAGAATTAAACTCGCTTTAATTGTGTTCTCGTCCAACATTGTTATTGTTATTAGCTAACACTGGTCGCTTAGGCACATGTACCCTCACGCTGAGAACCTTGGAAACATTTTCGCTCACGATAGCATGTTTATCGATATATCTATCACAATGCAACTTTAGTCTGCGCGCGCTTCAATGTGCTGTAAAATGTTCCATATGTACTTTTTAAAATAGTCAAAGAAATAAACCCATTTGCATTTAAGCTTTTATATTTATCTATATTGTAGAAGATTTATTCGCTCAAGCTTGTTGTTTGTTGACATTTAGTTATGTAATACATTTTATTTATTATTCTTAAACTAATGCTAGGCAAAATTAGTGTTTATTTTTGACGAATACACAATTATGAATTTTAGTTTATTGTAAAAAGCGTTTGTCATAAAATAAAGTCGATTAATATTTGTTTGCACTGATGTTTACCGTAGTTTAAGCTTCATATGTATATGCATATATTTATTGTTATTGTTATTGTTTCGAAACTCAATTACTAAATATACATATTTGGTGTGTTAATATATTTTTAACATTCTGGCTGCCCTGCAATGGACTTTTATAGTTTATAGTTCTGTGATATTTAAGTGAATTTTTGGAAAAATATTCATTTATCGGTTCGTCTTATGTATGGTATTGGTATTTGGTGTAAATAGCATGTGGCCTATTAATTATATCATTTAATTGTGTACATTTATAAGCAGAAATGCTGCAATGCCTGTTACATATATTTTAGGTTTTAGGTATGTAAATATAATCTCTTACATTTTTGAATACATTTTTTTAATTTCAAAGTTATACGCTTGACTTGAATCGCTAGCAATTAACGTTTGCCATTTGTATTATCCATGGCCTGCTATCCTTTTTTCATTGTTTTCTTTAAGTTTATGTTTATGATGAGTAAATTTGTATAAAGGTTAAGGTAATGCGTTTATCTTTAGTAAGGCACTAGTTACACATTGGGCCCCCTCTCCCGACAAAGTCAAGGGTGCTGCTTAACGTGTAACTACTGACTACGACATACAAATCCCTCTTCCATATTCCGATTAAATTTTAAAGCTTTCGTGTACAATTTCATTTAGCGTATTCTTTTCGTTTAGTTTTAGTTTTTCTTTGTTGTTTGTTTTTAGCTAATACATTGCACTTATGGCAAATCTAAACTGATTACAAAACAAGCAACGACGCTGCAGCGACCACGGCGCCTACTAAAGATAACTTGGAGGAGGGTCTTGGATCAATGATCGATAGATCGGTCTCGATATGGAGTGATCGGCCACTACACAGTGCGACAATTTGACTGCATTTCGCTACAATTTTGATATAAGTAGTGGGTGTTTGGGGGTTGTCTGGTAGGTTGGTTGCGTGATTCTTGTCGATAGTGTGTACGTTTGGGCTGATAGTTTACTGTATTTCTTTACTTGGATAACACAGGGTATTAATATTATTATGTGGTACCCACATTTGTCGCGCAGCTATTGTAGTGAGCACACACACACAGGCTAGTTACAATATCTAACCTATAAAGTATGTATGTAGCATTATAGGGGAGAGAGATAGAAAAAAATAGAAAGAGAGTTTGTATAGTTAGCGGTCGGGTATTTTCTAAGTTCTTAGTACAATTGTTTCACGATTTCTGCCCCATGACAGACTATAACTAGGTTTAATTTTAACATATCAGTTACATACAAAGTTAAAAATGCAACTGCACAGTTGGGAATATTGGTAATCCAAACGTCTCTTGCATCTGATACGCAAGCAACTATGTTAAAATGTTGTATCAAAATCCTTTAAAGTATGTCATGTACACATGTTGTGTTATTTGTGTATGGTAGTGTGTGTGTGTATCTGTGTCTGTGTTATGCGCAATGGGTTTGAAATTACACAGAGCTACATACATGCGGGTATGTATGTACGCGTGTGTGTGTATATGGTTCGTAGTTTACAGGCAGTTATGTAAGTTACTTTTCGACCAAATAACTGTGATTACAGTTGCCATTGTTGGTTAGCTGCGTGTGTGTCTAGTGGGTGTTCGCGCGTGTCTTGGGGCACATGCATAGCAGAGCTAACAACTACATACACAAGTGCAGGATGGCTTCTAATCTATGTATGATATTTCTCATTTCTAGTTTATATTTTAGGCATACAATTTAACCTAGATAGACATGGATGCTAGCTTAAAATTTAAAATATTGGTATTATATCATAAATTAAATTAAAAATGTTTATTTTTGCGTTTAATATAAAATTTCACACTGTTTAAAAGGTTGTCATGATTTTCGTTTTGTTACATGTTATGTATTTATATAGTGTATATTTGTAGTCTGTATGACAATGAGAATGTGTGATGCGCTTATTGCTTCTGCTTCGACATGTACAATGAGATTCGCATTCTTCTTACATAAGTTAACTCATTTTACAAATCATAAATTAGACATAAACTTAAACAAATTGACAAAAAAATGTACAATTAAAATCAAACAAATTAACATGATTATGTGAATATGAAATAAAACTTAAAATTTAGCGAGCAGAGACTTTTAAATGAACTTAAATCATACAACATATATATATATAAATGTATGTCGAACATAAGCATAAAAGTTAATTAAGAATAGTTATATATTTCATATAATACATAAGGCCTTGATAGGGGGTATATCGAGTTCAATTCTTATAATGTACATAAGAGTTCATATGACACTCTGCCAAAGGTTAAAGCCAATCCGGCGAGGAGTCTTTATGACTTTGTGTGTTTTGTATGAAGATGTGGCTAGTGAGCGTGCCCTGGTTTTGTGAAGCGTGCTCCTTGTGACACATATAATACAGCTCATCATATATGTATGCATGTTTGTATGTATTAATGCAAGTATAACAACATGTGCTATACATATGTGATATTCGTTTATATTAGTTTGGTATCGTTTGATTTTCGAATTGTCTTGTTGTTGTTGATTTTGTTGCTGTTTGTTTGTTGTTTAATTGATTTGTTCTCGATTGTTTTGTTATTGTTTCTTATTTGGATTTTGTTGTTGCTTGGATTTTTACATTGTGAATAAATGCGTTTAGTTTAAGAACTTTGCTATTGTTATCATTATGAGGTTGGCCAACATGATGCAAATGCTTGATTCTGGCAAATAGCTACCTCCGCTCACAACAATGTCTTTCTCCTCCAGGAGCGGATAGTCGATGACATGTATAATGCCATTGGTGCACTCAACATCTGGCCGATATACATTGATCTTCTTATAATTCCACACGAGCACATATCCTGAAATGAGATTGTAAAACGAGATAAGAGATTTCGTTTAGCTTTCCCTGTAAAGGTCTAAAGTGATATTCTATGGAGCACACGGTGAGATTTATGTTTTGCATGGAATGAGGCAAGTTTTGATGGCTGTAGTGGGTTGTTTGTGCAATGGGTTGACAAACGGCAGCACTCACCAGTCCATTCGTGACTAGCGTACTCATCATGTAGATCTTTTACATATATTGTTTTGTTTTTGTTAAATACAAAGCATGAGATTTTGGTAAAGTCGAAGAGAAACAGCAAAAGTTAGTACAGATAATGGTACCGATAGCATCGAATCGAAATAAAAAGCTGTTTGGGTGCCCTAAGTGGCTACAACTAAGTATAACTTACGTCCAGCCTCCTCCTCGACCTTCACTTTGAGTGAATCACGGAGTGTGGGCAGCACCACGTTGTCTGTGGTAAGTGACATTTGCGCAAGATCTTTCATGGTGAACACATGATCCGCAAGGACCAGATGGCGCTCCAAAATGTACTTGGACTGTTATGTGAGAGAAATACAGAAAAAAAGAGAGAAACATAGTTAATAGAAAGTTTTGGACGTAATTGGCATCTGCTTACATGGTAGGCAAAGTCACGCATGAAGAGCTTCTTGTGCGCCGAGGGATAATCCAGTTCAGTCTTCTGCCAACCCTTGTCGCGGGGCACAAAGAACGTGTATCGGCGTTGGGTATTGTTTAGCTGATCGTTAAAGTGCGAGAACTCGCCCATCTTGTAGGTATCGCTGTAAAAAGCAAAAAACATTAGCAACAGAAGAAAACTGTTTATAAATAGATGTTACCTCATCATGGGATCGGTTTCCAGCTTGCCCAGCACAGTGGTATGCGGCACGCCTAGCACACGGTCAATGATATGCACATAGCCATTGGTTTGTGCCACATCGGCCTGCAGCACTGTGGCGTTTACGCCACCACCTTCAACAGTGATCACGGCATCAGCATCGTCGCCGTTGATATTAAAGTAAAGGAACGTTCTATTATTCACCGTTGGCACCTGAGCGATCTAGAAGTGAATAAAGTTTAAGTTACTTGATATTTTAAAATATTCTTAAATGAGATCATACCATATTGGCATTTTTTTGTCTGATCTTCTCAACGTTCAAGCGATCCTTGATGATGTGCATGTTCAGAATATCGGTCATCTTCTTGCGATCCCTGTAAACAAATGTTTAAGTAGAGATTTCATCTTAGCTGGATAATCGCCAGTTTACCTAATAATATTGTCTATGGAAGATATGTTCCAAGCCTCATTGCTGGGTGCCAAAATAGTCACTTCAGACAGATTGTTTATGCCTTCCAACACTGCGCCACCGGCGTCCATGATCACCTCGTAGAATTTGCGTAGTGCTCCATTCTCGCCGTTATCCTTTAAAATATAAACGATTGTTTATTAAGTTAGGATATATATTTATGTGTCATAAATAACTCAAAACTTAGAAGTTATTAAATTGGGAGTAGGGCGCTCAAGCGATATATGTTTCGATTATAGTGTTTATTTTTATGGAGTGTACAAACATCAAACAGTTATATATTTTAGATATATTCACAACATTTATAATGTTTATAAAATGTAAATAAAAGAAGTGAGCCAATTGTTTTGGAAATCATGTTTATAAATGATAAGTTAAAGCGGAAAACGAATCGTCTAGTAGAACTGAAGTTCTGGCTAATCTCAGCGATTGTCGCTGATGCGATCTTTATTATTAAATCAAGGTGATTTCTAATGGTCTCTGGGCACGAGATATAAAGCAATAAGAATGGAGGTGGGCCCAGGTGGCGATTGTTGTGTTCAGTGGGTGAGGTTCAGTGGCAAGCTGATGAATGTTGAGTTTGTGAATTGGTTGTGTTATACAATTACTTACGTTCAGAAACTAATTCGGTTAAATCGGTGTACAACGTTAAAAATGCGTATTCATTTTAAAATATTGAGCATATATCATAGAAATTGTGTATGGTTGGTGTCGTATTCGTTTACGAGTATTATTTCAGGTTCCGCGCAGTGTGCAAGTTCCGCCACCGAGTTGGAAAAATGTTTGAAATAAAGTAGTAGGGAAATAGAGTTTATTTACTTTGGTTTCTTTTGCGGAGTTGAATAGTTGCTTAACGAGTATTTATATTGAAATTTGGATTTGGCAAGCACAGCTTTTGACTTAATAAGACTTTTTTAGTTATGCAAAACAATTCAACAACTTTAAATTTCAGTAGCGTGCACACAAATGCTAAGAGACGAAAATAAATGAGGTGAAGGTCCTTTAAATTAATTAAGCTTAAAGGAATAATTGAAAATTAATGAACTAAAAGCATTTGACCAAACCCAAAACGAATTGAATATCAGAATATTTGGCAATTAACGCGTTTCGACATGCAGTCACAAAAAGAAGAACTCAACAAATGAAAATAAGAGATACATTTTTAGACGGGACTGTCTGTTTTTATAGACAATTAAGCTCAAAACAGCTGATCAAATTTTAATCACTTGCAACATGTTAACTGTGTTGCACCAGCGGCTTTTAAGATCCAATCGAAAGCTGTCAGTGATCGAGACAATTGAAGCTACATCAATAATAATAAATGAAGTCTGTTATTCTCTTTATAGTAAAAATATGATCAAAGTAAATTTAACTGATGTCTTGAAAAGTATTTAATACAAGTCTATAGAGCATGCTTAGGAAACATGCAGACATATAAATAAATGTAATAAATTCTACAACAAATGAGAACCGATATACTAACTAAACTTTAGACTAAACATTTGTATATACAAAGGCACGCAATGTTTACTGTACAGATATAACTAACTTCAATAAGAATTGTTTACCTTGAACGACTGTATTTAACGTATTGTTTGTCAATTGTGGGGGTTTTCAGTTTATATCGAATCAAGTTTCATTTTGTGAGCGATATTTGCATGTACGAGAAACAGAATATAGATCAAACGGTCAGTAAACCGATAATGGCAAAAGCGCGAATTACAACAAAATGCTAAACAAACAGTCAGAAATGTTGAAAATGTAAACAGTAAGATGAGCCGAGCTTTGAGCTGATTTTCAATGCACAACAACGTATATAATGTATTATGTAGGTCGGATGTATGTCTGCGATCAGCCATGGACGAGATGCGTCTACAGCTAGAGTAACACTTAAAATTACGTTCAAAGCATGCCGACTGAGCGAACGATCGGGCGAGCTGAGAGCTGAGATATGAAGCTATGAATGGAGGAAAGCTTAAGACAATTGCGACATTTTACATGGACTGGGCGTGGTTCACCAATGCACTCGATCGAGAGATATGCAGGAATAGTGAATGAAGTTTTTGAAGTGCGCCAGTGCAAGCAATGCTTCAAGAATTTTCTTGGTTTTTCATTCAATAAGCCAATTATGTGTATTTTATTTAAGCGATTTGCTTGCTACTGCCACAGAGTCGGATTTGGGAGCGCATTGAGCTGCAGTTTGAAAGTGAGCTGCAGTTTGAAAATGGAAAATCGTTTTGATAGTTGTGCCAATTAGAGCCTTGGAAATTGCAGCTCATGATTGTTTGTTGGTGTTGCAAGATAGAAAATATTGAAATTTGGTTTTTAAAGATAAATTTACATTAAATACATTGCTTTTTTCGTTTTGTTTTTGATTGAATTTTGGCAATACTTACATTACACCCAAAATTTTTTTAAAATAAAATTTATATTTTAAAAATTATTTTAAAATAAAATTTTGCTTTTGATTTTACATGAAACCGAACTAGTTAACATTACGTGCAAAATCTGGGGTGCTCGATGGCACCAACAAACCTTACACTAATCTCTAGAACTCATAAAAGATCTATGCAAATTCAGTTCTATGTAGAATCAGACTTTGGGTTTTCGTTTTTGGCAAAGTGTAACTATTGAGTTTTTGAGATCAAGCGTCGCCTTATGATCTGCATACATACATACATATTATACATGTACGCATATATGTATGTGTGTGTCTACTGTCAATGTCAAGTTTATGGTGCTATTTGATACTTTTGTTTTGACTTTGCATATAGAAGAACGCTGAAAATCGGGGGCCCTCAAGCAGACGCGCATCACTTGTTCCTGTCGAGCGCAGCTCAGCTAAATGCAAAGCTTTGTGGTGTGTGTGTTTTCTTTTTATGTTTGCATGTATGTGTGTGTGTGTATATGTGTGGGTGTAAGCATTTGCTGAGGCAGCTGGCAAGCCCAGCGACGCGGTGCTGCGTGCCGAGCCAATCAAAATGCCAAGCCTTATCACCAGTCAAGGCCACTGACTAATTATTACTATGTGTGTGGGTGTACGTATCTCTGTTTTGTATTTAAGACTGGGTGCTACGCCCACCTACCTGTAAAAATTGGGTGACAGTCGTATCGATGATCATGAGCGGACGATGGATCAAATGGATCACACCGTTTTTCACAGGTATATTGGCCTTGACAATCTCGGCCAGGACCACACCCTGAGGATGCTTGGCATCGCCAATGATTGTATTGGACTTGACATACACTGCAAGAGGAGGGCGAACAAAGATTAAGTAATTGTGCGTTGAACGCTGCAATTATAGATCTCACTTTTGCCGTCCTTTTGCTTGAAGAAGCTCACTGTGACCTTGAGCTGATCCTCAAAGGCAGCGGAAGTCTTGGGTTCGTCATGTTGCGAGGCGGCAGTGAAAATGACAGTGTTTGGTATAACATGACCATCGATGACCTTGCCATCCACCAAACTGCTGCGGGTCGAGAGCTGCGTGGAATCAAAACAAATATAAAAAATATACATTTGATCGAAGGATGAAAACTATTGTAGCTAAACGCACCTTGAAGCCCTCATCGACGGGCAACAGGAAGGTGTGCGCTCCAGGCGCCTGATAGAGCGATTCCTTCTTCATTAGCGTAACCTGGGAGCGATAGGTGCGCAGTTTGTTATCGCCCACGTTCAGCTGATCAGCCTTTTGTATAAATTGTAGTGCATCCAGATTGTTTATTTCTGTCTTGGCAGTTGGCAGCGCAGTGAGTGGATCCAGCACCTCGTCGATAATGTGCATGACCTACACGGCAAATTAAAGATAATGGCACAGTTACTAATATCAATTGTACAAATATTCAATTGAAAGATTCGTCACTGACCTGTCGCTTGCCCTCGCGATCGGTCAGCTCGACGCTGAGTGAGGGTATGATGCGAGCATTGTTCACATAGATGTCACCATTGCGGCTCTTTGTGATGTACAGCGGAGGATTGCCGTTCATGTCCGATGACACGGTCTTTTCCAGTTGATCTTTGCTGAACGCCGCGGTGGCTGAGCGTGGGACAGAATGCATTTTAATTAAATAATTCGCATGAATCAGAGTACCCAAATACTTACTGATGTGATAGAGGACATGTGTGGGTCCCTTGTGGCGCTGGAAGGCTTCATTGGTGGGCACAAAGATCGTGCAGGAGCGCAGCGAGAGCGTCGAATTAGCAACAGGATTCTGCTCCAACAGACTATAGAACTGTAAGCAGAAACGATTGGATATGTTTTAGAACACGTGCAAAACTTTGTTGGACAGTGTATTGCATGCACAAAAATATCGAACCAAACAAAACCATGCGTTGGGCTAAACGAGGGGGAGCGCTTGCCTTTTGGCAAACTAACGACCTATGGGCCAATTCTACTTGCAAATCCATGGCAACGTCAAACAACTGGTAAAACAGAGCACAGCCCGCCCGGGCAGAGAAAGGTTTATTGAACCAATTACGTAAGCAGCGTCAGGAGCAGTCCATAGGGCGGGTTTGTTGCCTTGCGCTCATTTCAATAACCGAATACGTGCACTTAAATTGTGTGTGTCATTACTGAGAGCTTGATGCCTATCAGGACACTGGCAGTGGCACATGGAATTGCATTTTCCAAGCGCAGCTACCCTACATAACAGACGCTGACCCTTTGGGCTAGCTATCACCTGCCTGGCGACACATGCGACCGCACACTTTGCGGCTTCCCAATGTGGCACCACCACCACCATCACCACCATCGCTGTCGACACGCCCCGCTGCACATTCTCAGCCAGCTTTATGAGTGGTGCCATATACGTAGCTCACTTTTTTTCAAATTGACCGTCTCTCTTTAGGTGATTGTGCATGTGTGTGTTAGTGTGTGTGTGTGTGTGCATTCTCCCGCACCTTTTTTCGTTTCTCACGTTGTACCTATTTTTGTTGTTTCTCGTCCTGGCGTAACTAGTGAGTCACGTCAATTTTATTTTAAGGGCTGCCAGGCCCTCTTCCCACTGCACATATCTTAGTTTGGGCAGCACCATCAAAGGACTTTTTAGTAATTGGAGACGCCAGTTGTCGCTGTCGTTATCGTCCTGCAACGTTATCGTCGCTATTTTGTTGGTTGGTTTCCATTTCACTTTCTAAATGCTTTCGTTTATCTTACTGCTTGCCGGTAGATTGGTGCCAGAGAGTGTGCTTACTGGTTAAGTGAACTGCGGCCAGTTGCGGCTGGCTACCAAGGGACAAGGTCTCATTCCTTTGCACTCTGCATTTACGGTTCGAGCTTTAGGCTAATCGCTAAGAACAGTTTTCATATTCAACAACAGAAAAGTTACTTTTAAACTTGTCATTAAATGAACTTAAGTCGTTTTATATATTAAAAACGTCTATTCTATTTTCAGAAAGCTAACGTTTTCGACGGACTACCGCGTATACAAACTAATTGAGAGGATTCGAAACGAAAATTGTCTGAGGCGGACAATACAGTTACCACTATAAGAAAAATATGAGTTGTTTATCATGATATCTTTTAATTATAGTATCTTTTAATTATAGCAATAGTAAATATAATTAAAAAACAACTGTTAATAACATAAAGACATTGCATACTCATGTTAACATAACTTACTAAACCTGCTAAAAGAGCGCTATGACTGTTAAAAAGATTCAGATGAAAATATTCTGCGAGCAATTATATATTTACATAAATTTGAACATTACCAAATGGTAGGCAGATCAATCTTAATGGGTTTCATAGATATAATCCTGCCAGATGAGCTGTCATCGCATAGTCATTGCTCCCAGGGGAGAGTGTGCGGTGCTTGCTTTGCATAAGTGCAAACTGTCAACTGTAATTCATTACCAACTCCCATTGACAAACAATGCGAAGAGCGTGGCACACACAATGCAAACTTTTCTTAAATGAAGCGAGGGCGCTGAAAGGAAACACCCCTCGGCCAGAACTTTGCTGTTTCAAAATGCATTTGATTTTCATGCGCAGCGCGCAGTGCCATTGAACCCTGTCCGGGACAGAGGCAGAGTCTGATATTGGTGTGCACCCTGCGCCTGTCCCGGCTAGAGTCAAGGGCATCATGACTCAGAGAGCCAGACGGCGGTGCAAACAAATTCGGCTAATGCAGCCACAGCGTTGGTCATTGCCAACCCTAACGGGGGGTGGGATGACGCCCACTCAGAACACACAACCCTTGTTTGAAATTTATTAACGAAATTAAGGCAAAAAACATGTAACGGTTTTTCATGTAACAATTTTTAAGATAACATTTCTTGTTGTTGTTGTTGCAGCTTACCCTAACTGGCATAAGGCGCCTGAAGGATTTGGCAGTGTTCTGAAAGAGAGAGAGAGAGAGACAGAGAACCGCTGGCAGTTCAAATTTTGTTTGCAACTCACATATTTTGTGCTTTTTAGCCAAATTTATTTATTTTGTACTAGACAGGGAACAAAACAAGCTACGAGTACGAGGGCTGTATGCATATGTGTTTTTGGGTGTGTGTATATGTGAGTACGTTATCATTGAATGGGGCGTGTCACATGAGGGAGTACATTTCGGCAGCTAATGGAGTAATTGCTACACTTGGACGGGGATCAGAAATGCAGAAAGGGCAGCCGGCTAGCCTGACCAGCTTCCTGCGCAGCACTTGATCTCATCATTGATTAGCTGCAGCATTGCGGGTGTGAGAGTTCCCGAATGTAATTGGTACAAATTATGCATACATATATGGTACATTGTATGAGCATGGCAAAGTTTTTGGTGTAATTGCAGCAACCCCCTCGAGTTGTGTCTTAATTGGTGTTGAAACATCGGGGAAAGAGTGGCACAGACTGACGAGGGAGGCCGCATCGCATGCCAGTTTAACGTTCGCAATGGATCTCTAATGCATTTTGCCAGATCTTTAAGTAATTGTACAAATGTATGCGCGTTTCCATAGGCGTCCATTAAGGTCAGCCGCTCATTCACGTTCAACGCTTTGGAATAGTTTTACGTATTTTTATTCGTAGAGCACGAGGCTCATATAACGCTGCCAGCCGCTACATATCACGCTTCGCGGCATGGATTGTATAAGTATTGTAATCTTAAATTAAATTTAATTGAATGCGATGCTCGCGTTGATAGTCCAGTTGATGTATATGCCAGTGTGTGTGTGTGTGTGTGTGTGTTTGTGTGTGCCTAGGTCGTTCAGAGCTATTGAGTGTACGCCGCCCACACACACGCCGCAAGCGTGCCCCAGCCAAGCCTGAGCCGACGGCTCTGTCCTCAGTCAAAGGTTAAAAATTAAAATTAAAATGATAAATATAAATGCAATGCACATCGACACAGAAGATGACGTCGCAATGTCACAAGCTTCACTGCCGACAGGAAGTTTAGGGTCAGCGCAGGAGGTCAGCCGTGCAACGACCGCACGCTGCCAGCGGAATTGCTGAGTGTGGGGATGGGGATTCGATCTACAGATGCCCTCCTTCACACACACAAACGACTGGTCATCTTTAGGTTGATGGGTTTCGCTGGAAAATTCACTCGAGGAATATAACATAATTTGTAATTATTACAATAGATCTATGTGGATTCAAAAGAGCGCTTCAACATTGTTTGATCATTTTTATTTGAATTGTGTACAAGAAATTCAAACTATCTGAGTGTTCAAATTTGGGAATATTATTGAAAGAGACTGCAAAAAGAAATATTACATTCAAGATCTATGATTGCACAATTATTTGATAGAATATTGTAAATTGTGAGCTACAAAATATCAATAGTAATATTTTTACACCGAACGGACTATCAATTTCGAGTAAAATTAATAGCTCAGTGCTTTTCAAAGGCCAGCTCTTTAACAGATGCAGATATTGTCTATGACTCAAATGTTTTTTTACGCCATTTGAAATTTTGCTGTTTAAGACTTATATACAAAATATGCCCCCAACTACATACCCTGTACATGGGGTATGCCTATTCATCTATCTAAACCATCAGACTGTAATGAGTTTTGCACATAATGAACATATTCGGAACTTCTTATGAAAAGCGCATGCAAGTTTTTTTGTTTGTTTTTTAAATACAGTGCCCACTTGGTATGGTGAACCGTTTTCTTGAAAGTAAAAGTCTTGAGTGCGGGGATTAGCAGAAAGACATTTCGCAGATAGTAGAAAAGACTTTGGCAAATATATACACAAATGCTTAGTCTATTGTGGATTCACAGAATCCTACTCGCAACACGTTGATGCCCCTCGTGAACACGCTCTGTTTGGCTGTAGCTGTAGCTTGGCTGTTGCCACAATCTGCACTAGTTTGGGCCGCATACATGCGAATAGTATGTACAGTATATACAGAAAGTATCTCTGCAGGTAACGGCAAAGGTACTGCATATATATTTTCATTGTGGCGACAATTACAGGTGAGGTAGTTCGCAGTTAACAGCTCGCACGCTTTCTTTTCAATTGTGAATTTTTTTTTTCTTCTGGTTTTTTAAAATGCCCGCTGCCTAACAACTATTTTTGGGCATTAAATGTTTAACAGAGTAGAACGACAGACAGACGGACAGTTGTTGTTGTTTTAGGCTGGCAACCTTTAATGGCTTCTGGCTTTTTACACTTTTATGTGCTGCCCATATGCCTGCGTGTTTGTGCGTGTGTGTGTGTGTCGTTGTTTGAAGGTGCAAAAAGGCAAACATAAACATGTAGGTAGAAAACTGTTATGCTCGGTCGACGGCAACGGCCGGCTTTGTACTGCGCCCGCTTGGATGTGTTGCTGCTTTTGCATAATTTATTTTTCTTTTTTCCTATATCTTACTTTATTTTATATAATGGGCTCAGCATGCGTACCGAATGTGGCCGCATTTGGACTTTAGACCGTGCTGCGGCTAAAAAGGGTTTTGGCCATCATCGATTTTTCACAGCAACAGCAACAACAAGTGCAAATGTTAAAGGTCAAGGACATGAAAGACGAAGCAGGCAGCTGCTGAAACAGACGAATACCTGTGCGGGTGTATCTCTCCCTCTCCTTCTCTCTCTCTCTCTCTCTCGCTGTCGCACTTGCTTCTCTTTCCGTTTGTCAACTTTCTGCACAAGGATTTTCGTTCCAAGGACATTTGCCGACTAGCTTGACCAAAATATGAATGCATGTTTGTTGGCTAACAGCTATGTATGAGTAAGGGTAGAAGTGTGTGTGTGTGTGTGTGTGTGTGTGTGTGTGTGTGTAAACAACTTTAATTACGGCTAAGAAACAGCTGCCTAAGCACCTAAATACATGTGTTTTCTATTTTGGGCAGAATATTTACTTTGTTTTTTGTGTGTGTGTTAAGACTCACCTGCGAAAGTTCGGAATCATCCCGCAATTTGTCCACCAAATCAGCGGCAGCTGCATGCATTGTGCAGCAGCAGAGCAGCAGCAGCGCCGCTAATGCGCTCGTTTCACAGCTAACAAACATTTTACAACACTCGCGCACTTGTTTTTGCTGTAACGACGCAACAGCAGCGACGACGACGACGGCGGCGGCGGCTTCGACAGCGACTTTTGAGGGTTGGCAGTATTTGTTACTGTATTTGCAAACGCGCCTTTATGCGACAACTATCTACAATTTAAGGGCAAGGAACACATATAAATTCATATATAATCAATGGCAGCTAAGCCATCCCCCCTGACACACACACAAACACGAACTTAAATGGGATGCACTGCTGCGATGAGTCAAATCTGTGTTAGCGTCAGCTATTAAAAAACAAGCGCTAGCTTGGCTATACAAATTGCTCAATACACACCCTCACACACACAAATACTGTTATGTCACATGAAAAGCATAACAGCCGCCCAAGAAGCAGACCATAAAAACAAGAGACAAAGCTAAGCTGCGCTTATTATATATTGTTTTTGTTTTGCCCTTTCTGCTGCCATTCGTGGCTTTCGTTCCAACAGCTCAAGGAGAAGTTCTTAGAAAGAGCCAAACCAGCCAAGCCACGCCTCTGCAGTGGGCACTAATTAAATTATGCAACACGCCTTCGGGCAATTGTTGCCTGCCGCGTAACACTTTTGGTATTTGTAAACGACCCGACTTTTTGCTGTCCTGTATTACAGTATATTTGCAATTAATAGCAAACGAGCATGTTCTTTTATATGTTCGCTTACTCCACTTATTGCGTACTTCTTCCGTACATACATATGTATATTTGGAGCAGTAGCAAAAAATCTATACTAAGCGCAGCAGCAATGCACGATTTTTAGCAGTACCAGAGTCCCACTGAAGCCACCACAGCAGTCAATACATTCAAACAATACCGAGACACTAACGTACACCACGCTTCAACGTTTTATTGCAACTAAGCCGAGAACAGGTTTTGAAGAGAGCGCACCCATAACAGATACAAAATATGTCTGCAACGAATGCTGTTATTTCACTGTTGTGCTCATTGTGAGCTGTTAACAAGAGAAATATCGATAAATTAATACCAAGGCGATAGCTGCCAAATTTAAATGTAAATCATATAACGGCAAAAGGCAATATATAACAAAATTTACCTATAGGTAGTTTTAGGCAAACTGATCCAACTAATTACTGAATAAAATAAAAATAACAATATGTACAGTTAAAATAAATATATTCTTTTATTCTTTTCTTTTCTTAAATAGTTCACTTCACAATTATGGCAACACCTGGATTTAATTGCACGTCTCGCACTTTGGAATCAATTGCCAATAGAATTTGATTAAAATATATTTACATTGCAAAACCATGAATTTATTTAACACAGAAAAATCCTAAACAACAATTTAGCTTATATTTTTTACTCAACTATAAGTAGGTTAAGCTTAGTACCCACCATATAATGGCAGCAGGAATGCTGAAGGCAACAATATGTGCAAGTCCATTGAGTATTGAGAGTCTGTAAAAGATAAAAATGGGTTATTACGTATTAACTAATCGCTGAAGGAATAGTGTTTAAAAATCGTTAGAAATGTTAGAAATCGAAGTCTCTGTTTCTTCACGATAAAATACTTTCTCAGCCTACCTTTTACAAAGCTTCTGTGCGGCTTGTAAGGATTCCTCAGTTAAGTTTTCCTTCAAGAGGAAGACACGGATTCCAGCCGCGGCAGAGGTCAAATAATCTACCCAATCAATACTATTCATGTCAAAATTGTAGATTTTTCGATCCTGTGGAGACATGCATTCTAATAGCCGACTAGAATTGGTCATGTCAAAGCTCCAGCTAGAGATAACGAATGGGAGTAATCTGTTGATGCCATCGTGTATTTTTTTATAGATTGATTTCATTCGTGGCTGCTTTCCCTTGAGGCGTAATCCTATATCGATGAAGAACCCAGGCAGATGGTGATAAAATGCACACAAGATCTTGAAGACCCATAAGCTGGGGGTACAAATAAGGAACGGAAACCATAACATTTGATTTAATGGACAAACGTATCTTTGATTTTCTATTGTGTCTGTGAATGTCTTCCAATATAGTGGATTTTTTTCGGTCGGAACAAAGTTGTAAATAGGTGGATCTGGTGCAGGTAACTGGCGCTTGGCAGTTTCCACAGATGTTTGCCAGGCGGAAGCCAGAATTAAATTCGCACAGAAGTCAACCGGCACAATATTGCTCCGGGCTTCTCTGTTTAATATCATGACGCGAACAACGCCAAGTGCAGCTCCATATACTATTGAAATGGGTCCATAGAGGTTATCAATCCATCCTTTGGAGGGCTCCCTAATGCTGGGAAGAACTTAAGCCGAGGAAACAAACACTGTATTAAAGAAACTTTAATCTCCACTAACACGTACTCATGCCTGGTCGAAATATGCATATCGGTAGATCGCGTCCCTCCCTTTGCACCACCTGTTCCGCCATCGCCTTTGTAAAGGTGTACGTATTGGGAAATTCGCCGAGCAACGCCGGCGTCATTTTGTCTAAAAGCTTGTTGCTCAGCCTATCCTTCAGCGCCAAAACCTCGTCAGCTGTGCAGGTCAATAGCTCTGGATAGAAGGACTCCTTGATGTGCTCAGTCACGCAATTTGAAAACGCCGTGGACACATGGACAATTGCCTCCAGTCGGCGCATCTCCTTGGCCAGCTGCACAACTAGGCGAGTGGCGCGTGTATTGATGCTCAATGCGATGCTAAGTAGCTCCACAAAGTTGACCGTGGCTGCACCATGTATCACCACTTGCACCTCCTCAGCGAGCATTTTCCTGTCTGCCTCGCTCAATCCCAAATCGGGCAGTTCACAGTCACCGGCTATGGGTGATACCCTCTCCAAGTAATTCGCATTTGATTTGAGCACTTCCCTAAACAGCTTTTGAAGGAGTATTGAGTTATGCTTAAAATATCCCTCCGATCGCAGTCAACTTACATAATTGCTGCCAAAGTCGGACATGCGACTCTTGATTTCCTGTCCACGTTTGGACCTTATTAGAATATATATACGTTTCACTTCTGTTGCTCGCAACAGTTTTTCAATGATCACTGAAATACAAGGCAATATCATACACGTCGAATTATACATTTTTCAAAAACACGTGTAACGTGTAACATAGAAAAACAAAAATATAGGTTTATCCTTGACGGGGTCGGAAAAATTCTTTTTATTACGTTCACATACTTCTTCCCAAAAATCCACTCCCACCGGTTAGGAAAACTGTCTTATTTTTATAAAACGTGTTAATTTTGGAATCCATTTTATTATACAGAAAGTTATCCAGTCAAGGGAATGGCTCGACGACTAAAATACATTTTTCGTGGTCATGCCTTTTATATAAAAACGTATATAGTACCGTCCACTAAGACTGTATAAACTTAAAATAACGTAACCCATTGAATTTTAATGTGAATATGCGAATGAGGGCATGTCCAGTGCACACAATCGGCACTCACAAATCTACATATAGACATTACGTACTTATTTTCTTGTTATTCAAATACTAATACATGTATATAGGAAGTCACGTCAAATCGGGGCACCTGTCTAACGTAGCCATATATTATTCCACTTACAAATACGAGAAAAATGATCAAGGATTTCCCGTTAGTTGTCATTGTTGTTATCATATTTTGATTCAATTTTCTGTTAACGGTATGCCATTTCAAACGTTATTTTTATAAACCCCTTTAAAAAAGGTTTGATGACAGAGGTGACCATACCATGTAATAGTTACTATACAGAAAAAATACCGAAAACGCTCATTTCCAAATACCAAAAAAAAATCAGCGAAAAATAAACGCATACCGTAGGAGTATCTAACAATTTCAATTGAACTACACTGTTAACTAGCTTTTCATGTAAATACTACTGAAAAAATCACCGATTTTTCGAAAGCAATAACAGATTTGTGTGTGTGCAAAGCACGCTGTTGACAACTGCAAGGTACTTCTCAACACTGAATGAAAACTCAGCTGTTTGACAGCTGTGTGTTGTGTAACTTCTCTTGATTCGATTAGTTTCGGGATGGAATGCGCTCGTACATTTTTACGCATTTTCCCAAGAAATCCTCAAATATTTAGACGCAGCATAGCCATGACGTCGTCAAGCCGTGCTAAAGAGGTAATTGAACAGCTGAAGGAAACCAATCCCTACTACTTCAAGTATGCTGACAAGATAGCCAAAATGCAACAAACTTCGGCCGAGGAGTTCTTGGATCGTATTGAGCGCGTCATGAATCCCATCGTTGACGGAAAAAGTCAGGCTAGGTGAGCCAAAATGGCATATTAGTAGCATAATCTGATTTCTGACTGTGTAAAATGCCCATCCATTTAGATCTTACTCGGAGCTATTGAATCCCAAAGAAAAGCTGGCCGCGGAACAGGCTGAACTGCCCCACAAGAAGCTGACCGACATCATGAAGATGGAGCTGATTGCTGATAAGAACGCCGAGGAGATATCGCAAATCTGGATCGAATACCACAAAACCAAGGATGTGCTAGCTGCCACTCTGACAAAGGCCCAATACGAGACACTAATGGGACGAGCTAAGGAGCATCCCATCTTTCTGTTGCCACTGCCACGCAGTGAGGGCTTTGAGTTCATCCTGATGCAGTTTGCCGCAAACTCGGTTCATTTTACTCCGCTGCTGGCCTACCAGGTGCATCATGAGAATGCACCCGAATGCCTAACACTGGTGCATTACACCGAGATGCAGGACAAGGGAATTATACTAATGCGTGGCGAGTACGACACAAAGGTTCTAACTGCACAGGAGGCGCAGTGTTTGGCGAATGAGCTGCAAATGTTTTACTATAAGACAGACGAGAATAAGTTAAAACTTCTGGGGACATTTACCAAACGTCCAGATGAGTTCAAACACATGGATCTCATAAAGGAAGTTGAAAACATACAACTGGCTTAAGTTTAAATCAAGTTCTATCGTAAAATTGATTAAATTAAAACTAAATCGAAACGAATGAAAAACAGAAAATGTTTAATTGTCTTGGTTCGACATTGTATCTTTAATGCCCAGCTGTCTGCCACCTGCTAAGGCCATTCATGATAAGCGAAAAAAAAAGAAAACATCAATTTACCATATAATCATGGGTATTTTGCAATGAACATTTAAGTTTATTTAACATTCATATTTTAAGTATTCTTTGGTATTTTTGCTACCAGAAATTGTTGTATACATTTAAACTATTGCTCCAAAATGCTGCAACAAGATCCTAAACTTTATACTCTCTCTTCGCCCCATCATTAAAACATTTCATCTTCGCCAGCGACGTGTATCTACAATGGAAATATGCATACTTAATTGCTGGCCCTGATTTTACTAATCTATTGGATATTCACATACCAATTCAGCGCCGTTGTCATTGATATTTTCATTGTTGTAGCTGTTGATGCCATTTTCAAGTACTCGATTGCGAATTGCCTGCATTACAGAGCCGCGCTTTCCAAATCTCACGCGTGCTCTGTCGCCATAGTAGACGTCGAGGTCCTGCAGATACTTTAATGCATCCGCCATGGTGCTGATTTCATTGTTGCGCGGCGGGCGCGCCTTGGATGCCTCCACGTTGCAGCCAGCGGCAAACAGAGCGAGTGCCACGCAGACAACCAAAGTGCAGCGCATTGTTTGGGACATGATGCGATTACCTGCGTACATGAGCAAGCCGTATTGAAGAGTAGGTGTATGGAAAAAGTTGATTGATGTTTGAGTGCTAAGCCTAATTGAAATTTTATTCAATGTTTTTGTATATTTGGTTAATAGCAAAAGTGTGCTTGCATATATTGCTTTATAGCTATATAATCGCATTTATTTGCTTCAAACTAAGATCAAATCTTGGGAATTAAAGCCAATTGCTAATTGTTATATTGTGATTTGCATAACTAACTACTAGTTACTGGGTATCTAGTTATAAGCTCATATTTTCTGGACTCGATAGCCGTATACTGGCTCATTAGTAACCCATTTACGGATCTGCTTAGTGCCATGGGTATTTGTATCCAGTGGCTATCTAATAATTTGCATTGGCCATACAATTATCGCTTCGTTTATGTACTAGTTCCTACGTATTGCAATCAAAGGCATCTGACGTAAATCACTAATTGCCCGAAGAAATCTATAGTTTAATTGAACAAATTAGTTATTATAGTTAGGGCAACTCCGTCATGATAATCTCCATTTTCTGGCACACTCAGCAGATATGCAACACGAATATATGTTTTTTTAATACACGAGCAAAACGGGAACTCATTGTTTCGTAATTTGATTTATATCTATGTAAATTTTAATGAGCCAATTAACAACTTAATATGGGCACAATACAATTTTGCGAACTCTTCCCAGCTAATATATATAATTTGAACTGAAAATTTCGTCATTAGCACTGGAGAAAATTAATATAGCTTAAACAAAATTCTGCTAATTATCATTATTAATCATAATAAATTTGATCTATAAATTCAAATTTTTTAACAAAAAATAATTAAAATATTTATTTAAAAACAAAAATATATATATTTTCGGTGCTTACCTTTAACTGGTGAGTATTGACAAGTGGATAATAAAATTGGCAATCGTCTTTTGCGTGCAACGTTGTCCAGTAGCGCAACAAGTACCAGATGCCTCGAATGCAGAATTATGAATGATGACCGGAAACTGTCGAACAAGTGGCGATAGGTCAACGGTGTGTTGTACGGGAGCAATTGGTGAGCTCAGGAGCTAGTCAACAACAGGCAGCGGGTGGAACCAACGACCGAAGGTAAATGGTAAACGAATCAGCGCAGCAACAGGCATTTATAGTCGAACACGTCGTACGCACCATGACCTAGATACAGCTGCAGGATAATTTGCCCCGAGCACCCGCTCAGCGTTGCTTGGCAGCGGCGAAGCCTCAAAAATAAATTCATATGCAAGCTAATTATGTAGGTAAAGTTTTGGACCAGCTGGAACGGAAACAGTCCCGACCATAACGCCAACGCTAACGAATACGAATACTGACAGTTGTCTAACGAGATATCGCGAAATGCTGCTAGATATTAATGACAAAATGCGATGCGAAGGATTAGCGCCTGCTGTCCCCACCTGAGTGTTTCGATATGCAAATGCCAGCCCACTGGACACTATCATTAATTAGAATTATTTGATTATTTTTTAATTGGCGCCTGGCTTTGGCGGCTGTGATTTGAGGCACGGTTGACGCCGTTACGGCCACAAGTAAATTATATGTATACATAACATACATATATAAATATATTATTTATCGGCGTGCCACTGAATTGCTCTGTAATTTGGAGTCATTCGTGCTGTTGCCTCGACAACGAATGCAGTTCTATAATCTTTGACTTCTGGTTAAGTGCGTATACGTAACATGCATTACGAATACGCCGCGTTGTCCGCATCTGAATACAACAGTCTGTCGTCATAGCCACGATGACTTTTCTAAATGCTTATTATTATATTCGTATTAACTTTAAATGACCCGGATAATTGTCAAGTAGCATAGTACAGTACGACTATTAATGTAGTTGGCTTTTTATGCTCTTGTTGGTGTTGCTATTCAATATAATATATGAATAAAGATAAACTGTTTTCAAAGTGCACCAAATGCAATTAAGCTCGTTAAATATTCATTAGAACCGACCGACAGCGTATCATATTTAAATTTAATTGGTTCACCGCTTTGCTTGTTCCTTATTGTTTGTTTTAGAGTTGAGCACAGATCAAAAAGCTGCAGTTAAAGAAAACTTTTTTCCTGTATTATTAAGTTGAAAAAGGCTCCTGCCTGACCTCTACCTATATAATAATACAGGCACATGCCTTCAAGCTGTGTCGAAAGTAATTGCTAGCTTTGGGGGGTTAACATCATAGTTAAAGTTTCCGTCAATTTACATATGCTCACCGTTCTATGCTCTTACTTCTTGTTTGTTGGCATTGACAACAAGTGACGCTGTTGTAACGGGGGGAATCACTAGCTTTAAGTGCTTCACACACTCATTGCCCAAGTCAGGCGTTGTGCTAGTTAAGTTCAAGGATGTTCATAGGTACACTCATTGACGCTTTATATGCAGCTAATTGTACTGTGCTCTTTTCACGTCTTTCTCACCTTTCAAGTGCTAAAATGTCGGCTCGACTATTTATGGCACCACAGTGAGGGCAATGAATGCATTTCAACTTGAGTAGCCGATCTAACAATCCGTCGTTTGGGTACAAAATAATTGTACCTAGCATATACAGTTATAATTTGTAGCAACATGCAAATGGGGTTTCCCTTGTTAAGAAGAAAACACACGCATCGCGTGATGTTTGCATCCGATGAATTGGTAAAAGGTTTCCTATTTTTTTTGAGCCTAGCACTTAAGCAAATTATACTAAGCAATTTGATTAATATAATTTCGTCGTTTAGTCGTTTTCTTCTAGAAAATGCTCACACATTTATCTAAAAGCTTACATGATTCACTAATTCCCATAGCCAAGCTTCGAAGAGGATGTTTAATGAAATTTTACAACTAACTATTGCTTTAATATTCTTGAAAATCGTCGCTCAAGCTGAATTAGCGACAATTTTCTTACTCTGTTGTGCATCGGCTAATATATACAAATATAATACTTAATCTTAATAGGTTTAAAATAAGTATTTAATTGGAATGTACATTTGTAAACAATTCTAATTGTGACTCGGGGAAAACTAGAGAAAATCATTACAGGAAGGAACTGTGATAAAGATTAATATTTTGACATTTTTTTTTTTAATAATTCTAATAAGCTTTAATTTGCCTGCAAAATGGGGCATTGCTGATGCAGTTTCTCAGTTTCATTGCCTCTTCACTTCACATCTTCAACTTTAGCATAACTTAGCCTTTGTCTCAGCAGTTTGAATACAATATATAAATAATTAAAATAAAATTTAATATATGACTTTCAGCCGTTTTTCATGTTTTGTTATGCCTTAGATGCTATATTTGTAATGCAATGATTCCTTCCAATACTTTAGTTCCTGCAATACCTTTCAGTCATTATGACATAGTTTGCAATGCATTTCTTACTATTCGCCGTATGCGAAGTATAAATATTGATGATCTAGAGGTTTCTTTTAATGCTCTTAAGTGTATTAAAAGATTAGCATTGTTGTGCTTTCTAATTATTTGCCTTTTACCAAGTACAAACATTGAGTGATAATATTTTTCCGCTAACGTATCGCTTGCTTTGTGAGTCAGAGTACGTGCAATATATTTCCCCGATAAGGGTACAAAGCACATCCTTGGCCAAAGCTCAAAGCGTCATTGAAAGCTTTTTGGGTTGGAGGGCTTTCCAAAGCATTAAAAAGCACTTCAGCCGTTTGGGCGTTGTTAATATGCCATAATTATGGTGTGACTTGCTATAAATAACAACAATTAACAGTTTACAACATGACAACTGCTAGTTAGTGGGACCCAATGACTGGACATTTAAGCTTGAGTTAAATTTCGCGTGAGCTCAAGCTACACTTAAAGCTGGAGTCCAGACGAAATTTAACGCCAGAACATAAGACAATGTCTATAAAAATATAAAATTAAAAAAAAAAAAAACAAATATAAACGAAAACGCGCTGTCAAATGTACGCAATAATAATTAAGTACACAAATGAGAACATTAGAAACACGCGATCTTTACGTGGAATTAGAGTTAAGTTTAGTTTAAGGTTCGGCTAACGCTCAGGTCACTTTGTGCTTAATGGACCGCCCTGCCAGAAGCCGTTGCCAACTAGTTTTGTTGCGTTGAACACAATATCCACCTAATGGGCCAGACGCTTTTAGCGCAGCGTTCCGTCGAACGGCCGCATCGAACACGTGACCTGGCTATTGGCCACGATCTAAATCGATCAGATTGATAATTATCCGCATTGCTACTTAATAGTTATTTTCTGCTAAGTACTAGCCCCGGGCGCCCTGCGCTCCCAGATATTGGTTTCAAATGCGATTGTTTTATGAATATACATGTTCTAAAGCGGCGGGGCACGTGTGCGTGCTTATTAGGGATTAAATAGAGTCATTTGTGCTATTAAATGTAAAACAACGTTAAGGCGGCTAAGTGATCTTTAAAATGGCGTACCACAGCCACATTCACAGCCACGGACTGCGACGCAGCCAGAACAACAACAAAATAATACACATCGGCGAACTTTAGTAACCCCCGACAGCCACAAATCCAGATACAGTGCCGATTAACTCATCGTTCTGAGGGGTTTGGAGCAAATAGCACTCTGGTAATATTTGAAATAGACTACTTAGTTGCAAGTACTTGGCGATTATTAAAACGCTGCCAGTTATGTTTGAGCTGTTGTTGTTGTAGTTGTAGTTGTTGCTGTTGTCGTTGTTACTGTTGCTGTTGTCGTTGTCGTTGTTTTAGCTATTGACACCCAGGGACTGGCGCTGACGTCGCGCCGCCAACGTCGGCAGAGACAGAGGCAGAGGCAGAGGCTTGAAAGTGGACCGGTTCATGAAAAGATTTTCGCGCTTTAACGCTAGATGCTTGATCGCAGCCCGGTCTACGTCTGAGCTTGGTCGCAGTTAACGTCTCAGTCGGAGCTCAGCTGCCCGGCCCAAGAGTCCATATAAAGGTACTCACTGCCGTTCAGCTCAGCGCATTAAGTTGTCAAATATCGTGAGAATAGGAAGTGCGTGTCAGTCAATTCGCAAATAGTTACAACAACAGCAAAAAATAAAAAACAAAAAAAAACCAAAAACAACAAGTACAACTAAACAAGTACATCCAATTTAATTACATTTAGTTAGGCAAAAAGTCGGGAAATTCTGTGCAAATCAAAGTGCATTTCGGATCTATCAAAACGTATCAAAAAAATTGATTGTTCAAACGTAATAAATATACGAAGGTCCTTAATGTCTTATAAAAAGATATTTACGGTTTATTAATTCAAATTAACCGTACAAAAAACCGATGCAAATTAATCAGAAGTTATAATCTTTGGACTTGTTATTGTTAATCGTTTTGTTTGCCTGCAATAAAGTTTTATATATGTATAAATTGCTCAAGTAACTGATTTTCGTCAGCAAAACAGGCCACTATAACTATCTGTTAATTGATTGCCACACAGCTTTAAATAGTTGAAATAGTTGCGAAAATTGCGATAAATCAAAAACATTTGCAGCTCTCAAAATGAAACTGTTCACAAACAAAACCCAGCGCAATGCAAGTGAGTAAACTAAAGTGCAGCCCGCTCTTAATTAAGCCATACCGTTTATTGTCCACTTTAACCAAATTCAAAGCCCCATAAAAGATAATTCGGAACGCCTTTAAAGTAAAGGGTACCTCCCGATGTGATCGTTAAAAATATTTAGCACTTGCAAAACTGGTTGCTAAATACATTTTGCAACTAGTGTGTCTGAGTGTAATTAAGCAGGATTTGGGGGAATGTCGAAAACTTGACGAGCACTTGCATGCAAATCACGTCAAAAGTATGCAGCAATATCCAAGAGCTTGAGATTTACAACTTAAAACATATTTCAAGTTGGACTCAACAAGTTAAGAAGTTTAGAAAGACACTCGTTTCTCAAACAAACCTGATTAACAAAATGAACAAACAATTTATTTAGATAATTTTCTATTAATATTCTTGATCTAACCATAAAAGTTACATTTTAAGAGTGAAACAAACATAATATAAACATTCTTATGTTTTTAGATAAATGTTTTTCTTTCCAAGTTAATATTGCAAAAAGAACTTAAGCCATGTCCGTTTTTATACCCTGAACCCATTAAAAATAGGTATAAGGCTATATTGTTTTTGTGCAAAATACAAATGTATGTAACAGGCAGAATAATAAGACCTAGAGTCACCAAACATATAGACATATAGCTTCTAAAATAGAGTATATATATGCATTTGATGTTGGAAGAAGAGGGTTCAGGGTATCACCCAGTCGGGAGCTCCCGACTATAACCTCTTACTTGTTGTTTTTACGAACATAGCTGTTCTTGTATTTCAACCACATGATTTATCTTTAAAGTCAACTATGGAAGCCAACTCCAAGCTTTAGCTTAGAAAACAATTTTTTATTAACACCAAAGGATTTTGACTTGCTGCCAAAAATAAATGTAAAGCAGGAAAAATGTTGCATTAAATTTAAATAACACTAAAGTGTCACTTAAATAAATTTTAATACCGCATTTAAATTCATATTTACATTTATTTCATTTAAAGACAATACATATATAGCTGTTGATTTACATAAATTGATATTGATTTGCCACCGTAAAAAGCTGGCCGGTGCCCAGACCTGGTTGATCTGTTTTCAAGCAAATCGGTGAACTTGCCTTAATCTGGCTGTAATTGCTGTCATACTTATCATTAGATCGTTTTGACAAAGTCATTGAATATAAACTAATTCCAAAGTTTAGTCTCACTCACAGACACACAAACACACGCATATAGAGAGATGTACGTGTATTAACGGAACTTAATTGTAATTAAGCTTGCATAAATTAAGATTTGAAGTTAAGAGCGTTTGTGACTGTAACGTCACGTACTACCTTACCATGAAGTCTGATTTGATGACGATTTAAATCAACAAAACGCTTTAAAATTGAAGGCGAACTTTAAGCAATGTGCTGCAGCATTGGCCTTAAAGATGAATTGGGTGTGATTAGTAGGCATCATATATATGTTTTAAAAATAAGATGTCAACTGTTTCCAAATTGACCCACATCTGTGTAAGTGTGTGAGAGTGTTACAATTGGCTAGGTGTGCGAAAGTATTCCCCAACTGACAAACTTTTCCTTTCCTCAGAAGTGTCAACAGATGTAAATACAAATGCTCGACGACCATATTAACGATTCCAGCCAGAATATTTGGCAAAGTATAATATTTACTAAATTCTTTAGCGCTTTTAGAAATCGTCACTCATTGAAAATAGATATAATGCACAACTTAACGTGTGCTAAACAATGTAAATAACAATAAATTGTAAAGGCAATAGCGACAATAGACAAAAAAAAAAAAAACAAAACAAAACAAAAAGCACCTATCCATTTAAAAGCCAACTGCCGAACGGAACTGAGCTCAGATCTGAGAAGCGGTCTGGTTCTGATTAGCCTGCACCTGGCGTTGTTTGCATTTCCTTATTGGCAGGCTGTCTAATTGTCGGCGAGACTATTTAAGGGTTTTGGGGTTTTTTTTCTATATAATTTTTTTTTTTTTTTTTTGGAGATGATTAACTGCAACCCACAATGTAAGATTAATCATTAGCTAAACACAAGCAAACAACCGGCTGGCAAACAACGCGATGACAACAACTTCAAATGCTATGCGACCGTATCTTGTAATTACATACGTAAGCACAAGCACACATCTTATACCTGGCCGCCTGGCTGACTAGCTGGCTGGTTAACTTGGCTAATACACATACTTAATTTATTGCCATTTGACGGAAGTTAAACACACAGACACACACACTCTCACAGACACAGACACACACATATTTGAAGGTGTCTGAAGTATAGATTGTTGCTGGCCAGATACAAAAACAATTCATTCTTGAATTTTAGTGGGTCAGCAGCGACGTGTTGCCATTCGCTGCCGTGAGTTCAACAATTTCGTACCGTGTGCATTTTGAGCACCTTTTTTTTTATTTATTTAATTTTTTATCTCAGCTTTTAATGCTATGCCAAATTGCAGCGAACTTGAACTTCAAACTGCCGTAGAGTGCCGTCAGCCGACAACCTCATAACTGTGAGATACAAATGTATCTGTAGGTTGCATATAGCTGAGCCACTGATGCTGTGCCTCAGTGCGGCCAGAGAAACGGGTTCAGAGCTCAACCGAATCAGCTGTCGGACAAGACAAGCGCCGCTCATTCATGCTCATTTGTACAGCATTTGGCTTTTGGAACGCCGTCTCAGTCTCGTTCGAAACTTTGGCAATGCAGTTGCATAATTTACCCCAGAGTCCGCTGTTTCGATCGTTGTCGAGTGCCGATCGACGTCTTTTTTTTTTGTCTTTCCTATCAGAGATTCGTTGCAGCAGAATAATTTGAGCGCTTTGTTTGGTGCCTAATTTATGGTATGTCTTGTCTGGTGACTGGAAGCTATCGATGTCTATGACTGGCCCAGTCGACTGGCTAACTGGCCACCACTTATGGCCATGTACGTGAGTGTGTGTTAACGCAGCAATGCGATTCAAGGCAAGGATACACACACTCATACACAGACGCATTTCGATAGCTATATCTGTAAACATACATATTTGTTATCAAAGATGGTCTCTTGCGTTTTGTTTTGATTTTGAAATCTTGAACTTATTTGCGCTGATGGCGTGACAAAGCTGACATCAAAACAAAAAGAAAACATCGTCGAAACTATTAATGAGTTTATGCTGTTTTGTAGCCGTCCGGGTGATTCAAAGACATGGCTTATTGCTTAGGGGCTTGGTTAGCATGGTTCATTGATCTGACCAGGTACTTAGTGCGGATTCTTAGTGTGATATATTATTGTTTCATATCTTATTGTCAGGCACTTGCGGTTTTGTCAAGTGTTGTTTTATTTGGGGGGATTTTGTTTAATGATTTCCCTGAAAAAAAAAAATAGGTTAAAACTCGAGTTTTGATTTATGGATTGTGTGTTGAGGTGGGGCATGCACGGCCATGATCCTCAAAATCGGCCAGGCATGCGAACGAATTCTTTCACAAATTAGTTACGCATAGTTTGTAATCAGTTTATGATCACATCCGCAACGAAACTGCTTCAATGATAACAGTCTTGCTGGAAGGTGAGCATCTTGTATGTGTATTTCCAAAGTGAGACAAAACGAGTTTTCACACGCGCTATAAATAAAACAAAGCTCAAAGAATGTTGGCTACATTGGCATATTAAAAATGTTCAATAATTTACGATATCTTTACTTTTAATTAATTTAAGAGTTTTATAAAACTATATATAATTCTTATAAAGTCTGTTGCAACTGGCGAGGTCAGCTCCAGATACCTTCAACCCGCTCGAAATTCCCACAAATCAATCAGATACAGACACAGCATAAGAACATAAACTGGGTTTTGCAATGAAACGCAGACGGAGACGGGGTAAGACGTGTGGCACAACATGTTTATGTTTATTTCTCAGGCATCATAAAATGTTGCCCCAGTGCCTCTCTCACCTTCTCACTGTTTACTAAACCGAAGAGCGTTTATTGAACTCGATTGGTAGCACATGTGCCTTGTCATCAACAGTATTTTGTTTTCCTTTTGCTTGGGCGCTTTTGTATATATTTTTTTTTTGGCCAAGTGGCGGTTCCTGCTCCTGCCATTGAGGTAGGTCGCAGATCTTTGCAATGAATTGCCGTTGACAACAACAGAGAATCGCGAAGGTCAATAACATGGCAGGCAGCCGCACGCGATCCACAAGCTGTCAGCGATTTTGCAAACTTGTTGAACTTCGACTGCTTGCAACAATCGCAATGCGACACAAACTGAGCTGAGATCGAGCTAATTGCATAACTCACCTCGTACTCCAATTTATTTCGCAGAGCTACTGCGATGTGCTGCGCTTGGCATGACACTTGTTTTCTTTGGAGCAGCCATCTTTATGACAGATCCCGTCAAGCTAATTGTCGATTGGGTAAGAAGTGCATTTAGATGATCATAGATCCCAACTGATTCCCTCTGGTTTAGCAAATCAGTCTGAGTCCTCATGCGCTGCTGCGCAAGCTGTGGCTCGTTCCACCGCTTGATGTCTACATCATGGTCTACATGTTCAACTACACAAATGTGGATGCGTTTATAGCGGGCACGGATGCCAAGATGAAGGTCGAGGAGGTTGGCCCCTATGTTTATCAGGAGGTGCTCTCCAATCATAACATAACCCTGAACGAGGCCAATAACACCATCACCTACACGCCGCGTCGTGAGTATATCTTCGTGCCGGAGCGTTCGGTGGGTGACCCGAAAATCGATCGCATTCGGGCGCCTAATATACCCTACATGGGCGTCAGCACACAGGCAGCCAGCCTCTCCATGTTCGCCGCACTCGGCCTGAGTGCTTTGGCCAAACGCCTCAATGCACAACCCATGCTGGAGGTCAGCGTTCACGACTACATGTGGGGCTATGAGGATCACCTGGTGCATTTGGCTTCCAAGTTTGTGCCCAGTCTGATCGATTTCTCCAGCTTTGGCATCATGGAGAAGGTTAGTATTCGCAGCGCATGCGTCTTGCTGTAGCCTGTTGCATGCCTAAACATTTTTTGTTCAATTATCGTTCAGCTATTTCGCGAGGGCAACGAGAGCAACGTGGTCAATATGCATCTGCCGGAGCTCAAGGATGCGCATGGTGTTAACCTGCCTGGCTCGCCACGCGGCTATTCCATCAATAGCATTAACTACGAACGCGGCTTTAAGCGCTGGGAGTACGATGAGGCCACCAAGTGAGCAATGATTAGCCATTACCCAAGTTCCTGGTCGTTACCACCTCTCTCTGCTTGCAGCGGCACTCAGTGTAATCGCATTTGGGGCAGTCATGATGCCACCCTTTTCCCAAGAGACATGAACGAACACGACACCTTCCAAATCTATCGACGAACTTTCTGTCGGCTCTTGCCTATGAAATTCAATCGCACACTGAACTTTAAGGGTCTGGATGCCTATGAGTACGTTATGGAGCCACATATCTTTGACAGCGAGCTGCACAGCGTCAATTCCTCATGCTTTTGCAAGAACAATCACTGCTTGAAGCGAGGAGTAGGCAATGTCTCTCCCTGCTATTACAGTAAGTGCTGCGGAAGCACTGATGTTTATCGATCTAATTCTTTTGCCATCTCTTTAAATATCTTTTCCAGATATGCCACTGGCTATTACTTATCCGCACTTTATGCATGCTGATCCCAGCTTACTGAAACCTTTTGAAGGACTTAATCCAAATGAGTCCCGCTTTACATCCACTTTCATGATGCAGCCGGTAAGTGGCAAGGAGGTAATTTTTACTTTATTCTTCAAAACTAACCGCCCAATCCCTACAGCAACTGGGCGTACCTTTGCATGTTCATATGCGTCTACAGGCCAACCAAGTGGTGGGCAACATCAAGTTCAATCGGCTCATGGAACCTTTTGAGAATTTAGTGCTGCCGCTGCTTTGGGTCGATCTCACCATTGAAAATCTGCCCCTGAGCCTGCAGGTTCTGGTTCATGCACTAAAAACTGGTTTCCCGCTGCTGCAGCTTGTGGTGTCGCTCGGCTTGATCCTGGGCGGCCTTTACCAGCTAAGTGCAGCGCTTCTTCTATGCTTTTGGTCGCCACCAGCTGGCATCCACAAGTCCGAGCACGGGGAGAAGGCCGCGAGCGTATTGGGCGCGCTAGCCATAGGCGCATCCCTGCACAAATCTTTGCCGGCAGAGTGTGTGCAGCCGGAGGTACAGCAGCCGCTGTTAGACGAGAATGCAGACAAGCTTGAGGTTTAGGAAGTGCGAAAAATTCAATTGGAACAATACCTCAACCTACGATGGGCAGGCCTGGGTTGGGTGCTGTCCACACTCTGTGATATTAGGAGCTAAGCAAATAAGGAGATTTGGTGTAGATTATATTCTGCTCAACGGAAACAACTTAGGGAACATTCTATGCTTATGTAAAATTTTAAGGTTAATGGTAATTTGTTTGCACTCGATAAATATACATATGCAGCATGATAACTGTACAAGATTATCGATTAACGATTAACGTGTATCGATTAATATTTCTGGACTGGAACTGGCCTTAATGTGAGGCAATCGTGTCCTCAATCCAATTTAAGTAATACGATATGCGTAGGTAAACATCTGGGAAATTCTCAAGTGCACAGCCCGAACCAAAGGAGGTGACTCCGGCCAATATCCAGGGACCGTCACGCGAGAGGCGACACTGCAGAGGCCCGCCGGAATCGCCCACACAGGTGCCGCCCTCTCCGTTGAGGTGGCCAGCGCACAAATGACCACTGTGAATTTTCACAAAGCTGCCGTAGGCGTCCCTGCATCTGGTATGGATACTGTACATGTAGCTAAGCTGATTGCAAAGCAATAGCAGGCCGACTCACCTGCCGTTTTGGTGCAGCGGCACATGCGTCTTGAGCAGCTGATTGGACAAATCGCCGCTGATGTTCGCCTTGCCCCAGCCCGTGGCCACACAGTCAATGAAGGGCATCTCGTGCGAGTCCCCACCCCTGGCGAACTGTGTGTCCTGCTCCGAGTCCAGCTTGAGCTTCATGAGCTTGTCGTTGCGCCGCCGCGTACGTTTCTGGTTGCGTGGTGAGCGCTGCGACTGTCGCAGCGCCTGGCGCAATCGACTGAGGATCTTCATATTCATTAGCTCCCGCATGGACACGTCTATGGAACTGGGAGCTGTCACATTGCGGTAGCGTCTGCGACTCTGTGCGCTGCGCAGAAAATTGTCAATCTTCTCAGGTACATCGTCCAGCTCCAGTTGTTGGATGAGAACATCCTCCGTCGTTGGCGTTGGTGCCTCCGGTGACTCGCGCAGCATGAAAGGCAAACAAATGCGTCGAATGTGGGAGGATCGTGAGAGATCCGCGGGCTTGGACAGCTTCATAAGCACAACATCGTGTCGGAAGTTGTGATACTGATGATGCAGCACAATTTTCTCAACGGGAATACGTTGCTCATTGCCAGTCTCCACATTGCGGTCATGCTCACCCAGCACCACCGTCCACAGCGGTGGAATGGGCAGATTAAAGAGATCGCTGCGAGAGAAGAATCGTTGAGCGGCGTCTACAACTGGGCGGAATGGCTGGCACTTACTTGTGCACGCAGTGCGCGGCGGAGAGTATCCAGTATTGATGAATGAGCACTGCACCACACCAGTGGCCCAGGAAGCCCAGCGAGGGATGCAGTAGCTCCAGCGAGGCCTGCCACGGAAATTGGCCCTCGTGCGTGGAAGCGCCGGCAATAATCCGTGCCTCGCGACGTCCGGGTCGACAGCCACAGTCTGTATTGTAAAGGTTCACTCAAGACTGCCCGATTCTCGACGAGATTGATTACACTCACCTGTCTCAAACTGCGCGGCGTTGTGCACCAGCAGCAGCAGGCAGAGCCAGCGCAAGGTCAGCGCCAGTGCGTGTGTTGCCCGCTGTTGTTGTTGCCGTTGTTGTTGTTGTTGTTGTTGTTGTGACGATAGCTTCATCATGTTGTCGCTGGTCGCCAAGCAACCGCACGGCCTCAGCGACTGATCGCGCGCATGACTGACCCAGACCCAGACAGCTGCGGCTGTGGCCGTGGCAGATAGCAGATGGCAGATGCCAGTAGCGGTATCCTGCTGCTGATGATGCTGTTGCGACTATTGTTACTGTTACGGCTGCTTTTCACTTTCACGCTTGCAGTCAAATGAGCTGTCGAGTTAAACTCTGGTGACTCTGGCCCCGGCTGACTTCTTTAATAACACGCATTCACCTCTCAAAACCTTTTTATGCCATAAATATTATAATTTCCGAGATTTTCCCAGCTACACTTTGCTTTTCTTTTCTCCCGCTGCGCATTAATTAGTCAAATGTGGGCGTTACCGGCGCTGTCCGAGCCGCAAAATGTGCGCGCGCAGCTGCAAATGGCAGAATAACTCAAACTTAACTCGAACTGAAACTGAAAACTGGGGGCCCGTGCCCACGGTTATATAATGTCGTTGTGCCCGCTGATGCTGGGTGGCCCGGGGCGGGCTATATTAACGGTTTCGGTTTTCGACAACAGCGCAGGCGCCGCGTTTGGCTGAGTTTCGGGAGGTTTTCGCTTTACGGCTTGGAAGTTCCGCTCGTGGCTGGTTAATGCGGCTCATGCGAATCGTTAGCGACGAGCGCCAAAATGCAACTGTGCGCTGCCTAGGTTTGCCAACAAACATTTACCGTTTCGGTTACAGCGATGCTGCGCAGTCGGCGTCGACATTTGACTGAGGATAGTGTTGCATGCCCCGCCGCGTCCGCGGCCAGTTACAACAGCAACAGCAGCAGCAGCAGCGGCAGCAGCAGCAATAATAATAATAACAAAGCGTCGTCAACGAAAGTGAAAAGACGGCGCGAGGTGGGCAAAAGAGCAGCTAAAAGCCAACAACAACAACAACATCAAACAACAAACAACAAACAACAAAAACAACAACATCCACATTGATGACGCTGACGCTCGCTTGGGATTGAAGAGGAAGCAGAAGAGGTAGTAAAAACGGTAAGTTAGGCTTGCCTTAACATTGGCTCATCATTCACCTTATCATCAAATACAGAAACTACAGCGCTGCGATAACAATTCATTGATTAATATATATTCCAATCTAATCAGCATTAAAATTATGGTAAACGTGCAGCTGACAACAGCAATTATATTGTTTGATCTATTGCTTCATAATTTATACGTGATCTATTGCTATAATTATACGACTACTACTGTGCAAATCGCTTAATGTCTAGTTTATGAACGTAACCCAGCTTAATAAGTTTTAGTATGTAAATTTTATTTATAAATGAGCTTAACTATACGGTAGAATAGTATAACATTGAGCCTTAGGTATTCTTGAAAGATGTCAAAATATACACAAATAGCTATAGACAGTGTTAACATGTCTTATAATGTGGATCGTGTTCGAAATGTCATTGAAGCATTGTTAAATAGTAAACAAATCTGAGCTTATGCAAAATCTCAAGAATTTCTCGCTTAAACACAATTTAATTACAGTTTTAATAAGACTTTTTTCAAGCGATTAACTAATTTACAATTATAATACATTGCAAATCACAAAAACTACACAGCACCAGCACGTGTATCTACGCCATCTAAGTGCTCTATTAATTATCGGTAAATATGAACTTGATTCAGACTCCTATATTAAAGTTAATTGGCTTGTTGGGTCAATGCGCCTAGTTGAGCGTTTGCATGCGGAAAATACCAACGTTACGTATACGTCCAGTATTTCTCGGATATTCCTGGCGTGGCAGTTAACAAGTGCACATTAATTGGCCCAACTGAAACATGTTAATTACGGTATTTAAGTGAACCATTTACTCGGTACTGAAATATTTATAAGGCAGGCTGTGCCATGATATTTATGACAATTACCTGTAGAACAAACAACTGCATAAATAACGCAGTTAGCTGCTCGGTACAACGTGATGGATCAGTGTGAATGATGTTGGCCCAACAAGCCAACCGACTAAATGCGGCCGAGTGAGTGAGTGAGTGAGTGTATGCGAGTGCAGCTGAGTGTTGCTGCGAGTTACTTTCGTTTTCATTACATTCAGCAGCAGCAGTATCAGCAGCAACAGCAGAGCAGCAGCAGCTGACTCTACGGGCAGTACGTCCGCCCGGGCTAGCATCCGGACCCGCGCCCGTTTTCAATTCCGCGTTGATGCACAAGCTCATAAGTCATGTTGCTGCTGCAACAGCAGCGACAACACACACACAGCCATTGGGCACTCTGCAATGGGGAAGTTGTAAATGCAACAGCGACAGCCGCAGCAGCAACAACAGCAGCATCAGCGGCCGCATCGGCAACAGCAATAACAAAAACTTTGGTCTGTTTACGCAGCCAATTGATCATTTAAGCCCAGTTAAGACGTTGTTGAGCCAGCCGCCAGCCTGTCAATTTGTTGTTGTGGGCGCTGTCATTGCCGCTGCCTGTGGCATGGCTGTCGCAGCTGCCACAGTTGCCATTGTGCTGCTGTCGCTGCTGCTGTTGTACAATTAACCGCCGCCTTGGGAGACCAGCAATTTGTTGATGCTTGCTTGTTTGTTTGTTGGTTTGCCGCTCGTCGATGATGAACGTTAATCAAAATCAGAAAATAGCTTGCACAATCGGCGCAGATCTTTATAGCTTACGGTTCACGTCCCTAGTTAAGGCTAATACCGGGGCTAAATCGAGTGATGTGAACTTTCACAGCGTTGCAAAAACAGAAATTAATTTTTTTATAAATTTAATGGAAATAATACCAAGAAAAAATCAAATGAAATTTTACGCAAACACCGTGCGGCGACAATCAACGGAAGCGTTGCGGGTCACTTGGACTCAGCAGCAGCAGCAGCCAAATTAGTCAAGCTAAACCAAATGAGCACGTAAATCTTTGCGTTGGCGTTGAGAGAAATCGTGGTTCGAGACCTTGACAGGCAACGGCAACGGCAACAGCAACAGTGGCGCATTGGGCTGCAATTTCACTGCACTGTGGTTGCTGTTATTCAATTGCAATTGCATCATAGCAACATGTGGCCAGCTGATCGGCAGCGGATGCAGCGAGAGAGTTTTTTAAACCCGACAAAATCGGACAAATAGCGAAGCGGGCGTCGACAGCAGCCCCACAGCTGATCGACATTAGGCAGAGCCAGTCTCGCATTTGCATGCCACGCAGCAGCAGCAACAGCAGCAACAACATTAACAACAACAGCAACTGCAGTTAATATCGAAGCGTATCTTTAAGATGCGCGCATTACATTACCAAATGGCAGCGGGCGCTTTCCATGCGGCTGACGCGCAGACTTTGCCGTTGCCTCACATGAAAACGAAAGTGCTTCAAGTGGTTAGCCAGATGCTGTTGCTTCTGCTGCTGTTGTTGTTGTTGCTGTTGTTGTTTAGGTTATATTATTTGCTGGCGCTCACGATTAAAAGTTGCTATCTCTGTCTTTTTACTGATGCTGCTGCTGTTGCTGCTGCTGTTTCCTGTATCTCCAAGTTGTTGCAGTGTGTTTCTGTTTGAATTGTTGTTGCCGCTGCTGTGAGGTTGCGGCTGCTGGCGCTGACAGTGGCAATGGCAATGGGGGGAATGCCAGCGCCAACGTTGCATGCCACATGCGCCGCGTGCAGACCGGCGCGAAATATTTTGTTTAGCTTACAAAAATGTTTGTACACAATTTGCAAGTCCGTGAAAAACACAAAAAAAAAAAAAAACATTTACAGTTTGCTGCAGCTGCTTTCAAAAACCTATTCGAAAAAATTGTATTTGACTGCAAGCCAAACGGCAAAATTGATAAAAATGAATATGTAATTCGAATTATTTGCGTAAGCCCGAATATATAATATATGCAGGCAAAGTTCTACTTATAGTATTTGCATAAATCTATAAACTCCCTTTCAATATTTTCTTTTAACAAGCTCATTAAGCTCTAAATAATTAATAAAAATACTATAAAAAATTTGAATAATATGACAAGAGCATTTGGACTTCGATGCATTGAACAAAGGCACTTAGGATTTCTTTTTTTATTGTTTTTGTTTCTATTATTTATTTACCATATACTTGTTCACACTCGTATTTGTTTAAGCCATGCGCGTGTTTTGTTACAACCAACCGCAAAAATTACTTACATGAAGCGCGATAAATTTGACTTTAACATTGGGTATTTCAAGGCTATCTTTTGCATTTTTAGCTAATTTCTGTAAATTTTTTTTTAATTTTTTGGGGTATGCTGAAAATTTGAGTTGGTTAAGCTGAAAGCGGGACTTGAAATGTCAGGATTTGATTAGCCATTCGCACGTTCTGCTAGATATCGCGTGTCCCCAACTTTGCACAGGTATTACAGGTAGCGCCCACCCAGGTAACTTTACAATGAAGCACACTAGCAACTCAGCCGCTCAGCAGCAGCAGTTCCGATATCGCCGTCGTGAGCTGTAAAGTGTTTTTATTAATAGCAATTAGCGTTTACCAAATTGCTTAGAAATTGTGGTGCATGTTTATTTTTATATGTTACTTCAGTTTTTTTGGTGTTGTTTGTTATTTATTTGCTGAACTCATTGGAAATGGGTAATAATGGGTGTATTGGCTTTTCATTATCTCGCATTGTATACCATATGATTAAAGAAATTCGACCTATTAGAGTTTTTGTCTTTCGTTTTGGTTTATAAGTGCATTTGCATGTATTGTAGTAAGTAAGCAATATATGAAGAATGCCTATACCATAATGTGAAACCAAGGAAAGAAGGACATCCACTTCTTAGAGTTTCTGTGTGTAGGTGTGTTACAGCAGCTCTTAGCGGTTTACAGGGTATCTGTTAGTCAAGCAATCTCGAAAAGAGCACACTCTCTTGTTTTTTGTTGTTGCTGTTTCTGCTTGTTTTATGTGGCGCAAAACTTGCGGTTTCCACATGGCAGCATGGGAAATTACTCAGCAATGCAACTGCATTTATGTATTTATGTACAGACTATACCCTAGACTGGTTTCGTGGTGTGCGTGTGTGTTTGTGATTGTGTGTGTATAAGTGGTGTGCTTTTGCTTTTGCTTCCTTTCGATAGTTTTAAATGTTTCGAACTCAATTGAACCCGCTTGCATCTGTAAAGTCGCTGACAAATCGCGCCAGTTTGCCAGAGAGCCACAGCCGCAGGTGATGGTTCAGCCCCTTGCGGTGATTGTCTAATCAAAGTCAAGTAAAAATTAAGTGGCTAAATTATGTCATGAAGCACGTTCAGCACCATTGTTGTTGCTGCCGTTGTTTGTGCTGCGCTGTCTTTTGTTTGCCGCAGTGCAGGCAAAAATTAAACATTAAAAGAAAACAACAAAAATTCTCACGCCACGCGCCTGACAAACGTAATTACCCCACTCGAGCTTAAATAAATAAAGAGGAGAGCAAAGCAGCCACTAAGATGCTACCAAAATACCAGATACCATATCTATTTATACTAAGTACATATATAATTTAGCATGGCCATTTTCGGGTAACTGAATTTGAAGAAAGTTTTATAAATAAATATGGTAGATAAGATGGCTAAGTAAAGTCCAGGCTCTAACTTCAGGTTGGAGAGATAACCTATTGTACAGCCGAAGTCTATATAACTAGTGACATTTAACTGGAAGCTTAATGATTTAT